ATCTTTAGTTTGGATTATACGAAGTATCATCAAATTATATTTGTAAGTTGTTTATAAAATTTTTTTGTCAAGTTTTCCTTTAAAAAATGTTTTATTCAAAATATCGAACGAGAGGATTATTTAAAATCGTCGTCGTTACATTGTTACAAAGTTTTCGTGTATATAGATTTACAAAAATATAATTACAGTCTGTTTTAAGGATTGGGAAATATACTTTTAACACTTACTTGCCATTCCTTTGTTGCATTTATTATCAATATTTTGATCGTGATGTAATCATTTGGCAAACATGGCGTATCAAAACCGAGTCATTCCTTATACCGAATGTATACTATATAATTTGCGAAATATCTTGATACGATTACTGACAAGAACGTCGGAGTAGAGTGTTCGAGGGCGAAACAAGTACGGAAAAGCAGAGTGGTTTGCCGATTAAGCGTTTCCTTTTTCGATAGGTGTATCTTTCCTAATGGCGCCTTAACACTTTTACGTTTGTTTTTTTATTGTTTTTTTTTCTATTTACACAATATCAAAGGAGAAATATGTTATTAACTTCAAGGTTTAGAAAGGTTTCTTATTAAAAAGATTATTAATTATTGAAATTTTTTTTTCATCTTTCTCTTTTTTTTCCTTAAATAAGATAACTTTGTCTATTGTCTTATGCGATTTATCAATTATTAAAATTAGATCTTGTTCGTTTATATTTATTTCATCTTTTTTCTTTTTTGTTTTCTTTTTTTTTTCAAATAAGAAAGATTTTAAGTATTGTCTTACCATTTGTTGATTATTAAAATTGATTAATTAATTTTTTTTTAAGTAAGGAGAATACTGTATTGCCTTACCGCGTAGATTGTTTCATTTGGAGTTGGTAGGTATCTCATGATACGTTAGGCGAGTCCTCGTTTGACAATAAAAGGGATCTCCTTCGATATCTCGATCATCGCAAAGAATTTTGAGGTCGAGAAATGTCGCGATCAGTGTTTGCATTGCTGACACTCGAGGTCTTCATGGTCGGTCACTCTTTGCGCGTGTATGAGTCGCGTGCACGTGAAGCCTTCGGCTTCTTTTTCTTCTTCCTTTTTTTTATTTTTTTCTTCTTTCTTCTCTTCGTGCTTTCTGAGTAAGCAAGCCGGCTCCCGGTCTTTTCAGCATCCATATCGTGTCTCGAGGAGAAGCTTCTTGAGTACATACCTGGTTTCTCTTATTTTTTCTTCTTTCTTTATTTTTTAAAACTTTCTTTCTTTTTTCCTTTACATCGAATTTCTATGTTCTCTTTGTTGTATTTACCGTTGTGTTCCAGAACAAACGCGATACATAATCTATCGACGTGTGCCACGTTTCGCAGTAAAAAAAATTTTGCGGTTTCGGTCGTTCGCCGTACAACACCATTTCAATATGTACATATACCGAAGTAATAAACAGCCAACTAGGAGCACGAGTATAATATACGTGCATGAACACACCGACAATAAGAGGAACTTTTCGAAATTAGCGTGTTCGATATCACTGGTTTATGGCGATCGAGAAACTAAGAAGTTGCTTTTTTGGATTTGCAAGTAGTGCTCGATTTCGTTGACTAATATACACGTAGTCAAACCGCAAGGAGAAAGTGCATTCTGTATAGGCGGATAGATACGTGTGTATGAATTAGTACGCTACGTTATATGATCTGTACTTGCTTAAGTGGACGACGAAAGAATCGATACACATATATATATGTATGTATGGAAAGATAGAAAAATTTTTTTAAATTTATCAGGATATCAATTTTTACACCGTTCGTTTCTTTTCCTTATTTTCGTGAATGTCTCCAAAATTTTGTTACAAAAACATTGTTTATCATTTTTAGGAGAAGAAACGATGGCCGAGGATCGAAAGAACGCACAAAGGCTTATCGGTCAGGTTCATGCGGTGAGTTCAAATAATTAATCACTTTCTCATTATCTGTTAATTGTTTTTTATTAAACATTGTGTTATTAGTTCTTTAATATTAGTGTAGCGGCGATATAAAGGCATCGAATGTAAGCCACGAATTTTACCGACACAACTTATCGGAAATTCTAGCAACGAGTTTTAATGCATGCATTATAGATAAAGTTTATCGTTGGAAGGTTCCACGTCATCAAAAGAGAAAAAAAGAGGAAAAAACTTTTAAACTATTTCTTTAGCAAAGTGATTCGTATGTTTTTTCACACACTTATATATAATTTATAATTAATAAGTATATAATGTTCATTGGTTGAATATTAATCATTAAATGATCTTATGTTAGCTATTAATATCGAGAAAAATTATATGTTAATATTTCCAATAGATCAATTAACGAGTGAAATAATATTGTGTCGTTTAAAGAAACGAGTCTTCCTCGTTAGTCGTTCGTCTCTCTCATCCCTGAATGAGCCCACCTTCTGACCACCCTTTTCCTCTACTTGGCATATCCACCTACTCCTTCGCTCCCTTTGTTCGTTATACAAGCGACCCTCCCTTTTACGACGAGCCGGTGACTCATACTGTATCACCATTTCATACTTCGTGCTTAGTACTGATTCACCCTCTGAAGAAATAAAATTATGTTCATCGCCGCACTTTCTCTAATATATATCTATGTGTCTATATGTATGCATATTGTATATGTACCTTTATATGTATATATTATACTGAGAGAAAAGCGAGATCTCTAAAGACTTTGTATTTTGATCTTCCGCGTTGTTCGAGGATCTATAACTACTCTACACTTTAATGTAAAGCTTACCACTTAAATTAACCTTAAATATGATTTATTATTCCTGCTTGGATCTTTATATTATATTTGTTTCAATGAATTAAAATATAATCGATTATTTGAAGACGTTAATTAATCAAAAGGCAAGATTTTTTCACTGAGGGAGTAAGAAGTTTGACAAATAAATAGGGAAAAAGGGCGACAACGTTGACATCTCCACTTGACGGGTGAACGACCCCTCTTTCTCTTTCTCTCTCTTTTTCTGTCTATCTGTTTCTCTTTCACAGACAACCCCGACACACTTGAGTCGTCTCCATCTCTATTCCACTTTCTGCAGTAGAAAAAAGAATGGCTCGAAATTTCTTACTTATTTTTACTTTCAACTGGATAGCGAGTATTCAGTAATGAGTAACGGAACTCGGAGTATAACTTCTACTATATAAAATATAAAAGCGTGCCATAGTCGAAAGCTCGGTTCCGTCAGGGAATAGTTTGTCGACGAAATATATTTAATAATTTAAATATATTTAATAATTTAAATATAGTTCGCTTTAGCGTTACGATAGCTAGCAATCAGATACTTTTTCATTAAACGCAACGTAAACGAATCTCTCTCTCTTTTTTTTCTGGTTTTACGCCTACTCGTCTTCTCTTCTGTGTAATAGTTACGCGAGAACAGAACGTCCAGTCTTTGTATCTAACAATGATACTAATCGTACTAACTATCGATCGAAATTACCGATAGACGTTCAATTCGACTATTTGTGACGTCATAAAAGTCTCGTAATTGTTCAAACTATTACTCTATAGTACTCGTCGTATTATTTTACTATTTCGTTAAGTCTTGTTAAGTTTCAGAGGAGAATTGATCAAATTTCAAAAATTATTCCAACTCCATATGAAATTTTGTTTCTTCATTAATTTTTCCTTCTATGACGAAACAGTTTAAATAGAAGCAAAGATGTTTTTCCCATCTATTAGCCTTGACCCCTTTTATTGGATCAGAAATAGAATGAACTTTGAGATAAGGGAGAAAGTGGTGTAAAAAGAGAAAGAGAATCTCATCGATTAAAAATATACATTATTTTGAAAAAGAATAGATTCACTGAAAGTCCTACGAATGACCAACGTACACGCACAAACACTCACGCACGCACGCCTACACTTCAACATATCTCAACTATATTTATTATTCTATATATACGCTTTGTACGTGCTCGTCCTTTGCCTTTTATGCACGATAGGTTGCAAAGCTGTCGATAAAACGTCTTTCTACATTGTCTCTCATGAATAGGCAGGAGTTGGTACTTTCAAGCAAAGCTGTCACACGTACGTATAGCGGTTTTAGAGTGGAGGCACGTGTATGGTAAATCTCACCTAAGGATTAAGGGCTTCACTCTCATACTATTATTACGTTTTCAAGGGTGATTACTTTTATCAATTAAAGATCGTACGAATATAAATATCCATGTATCTACCACTGATCACGTATTTTATTTTATAATATTCTTCTATTTAAAGAAATGTTTTTCATTATTTAAAAATAATTTCACTTGAAAATTAAATGGAGAATCGTTCGTATATATGTAAAGATACATGCACACATCCGTGTACACATCAATAGCCCAGCTATGGTTTACGATGCACTTAATACTGCTGATAATGCCATAGCAAGCACGAACCCGAGTTATAATAGAGAGCAGTGTTTATAAGCGATGTTTATGCTATATCGATACAGAGTATTCGATACGCCTGCGCATCGCCGTTTTCGCGTAGGCAACGCTTTTCAATCAGCTTATGATAGAAAGATGAAGCTATTTATATATTATAGAATATTTAAATAAGTAAAACAGTTGCAACTGTTTAATTATTATAATTAGGAAAGTAAGAAATATTTAGTGATACGTTTGCATTGTTCTAATTTCGACACTCATTGATAATGAAATGATTATATGTAATAAATGAAATGAAATGAAAAACAAAAAAAAATTTCGTAATACATCGTTGCATTACATAGTCAAATTTTTCTATTCATTGAAAATGAAACTTTTCAGAGGTAAGACAATATTCATTAAAAAAGTCGCGTTCAAGAGCTAAAAATATTTTTGCGAATACGTAGCACTCATAATTCGATAAAGATTGTCATGGTACAGTGCAGTATCTTCCGGTAAGTTATGGTGGGGTCGGACTAGGGGTTGAGGAGGCGGAAAGGTGGAGGTAGTCGGAGGCGGTAGCTAGAGGTACTACACTAGGTACACGCAGTCTCCCACCTCTTCGCTTCCATCTTCTTGACCCCACCACTATCAGCAACCACGTAGGAACGTACAACACCGTTTTGATTCAGTATCGTCAGTATCGCGCGAACCATACTGTTGTTTGAGAGTTCATCGCGTGTCCTTAACTCTTTTTTCGGCTTTTTCCCTCGCTTTCTCTTTCTCGAGCACGACGAAAAAGTGACCCAGGAACAGAATCTTCGTTATGAAGTTTGTTTTACCTCAGAAGTGTCTTAAAACAATCAAACTTTAATTGCATCTTGGTAATGATATTGCAAATATTCTTTTCTGTCTCGGAATAGAAAACAAGAAGTAATAAAAAGAAATAATAAAAAAAAAGTAACGATAATAATAGTGACAATATGTGATGGTGTTTGATCATTATTTCTTCGAGGTAAAATCTATGTATATTCGAGGTTCTTACGAGGCGCGTTCATTCGGGAAGAGTACTGTGGCATCGTTGGTTCTTGCGGCGGTGTGTTTCACGCTCGATTAATTTCTTAGGTGAGTCGAACAATGATACGGTTTAAAATTATCCGATGATCGCGTATTTTAAAGAAGTGAAAAACTTTTATGAATGAGAGACCTCATCATGTTGATCTAATCTGTTTATTCGAAGCGCTTTATCACTATGTTAATTAAGTGTCAAAGGTAAACCAAGAGTAAAGAACAATCGAAAATTAATCGTCAATTAATTTGTCGATCGTTCGATTTTAATATATTTATATATTAAAAGGAAAAAAGAACGAATTATATTTTTGTTTTCGTACTGGCTGTTTTATCCTCAAATTTATTTATTTCTTCCTGAAGGACCGTCTGCCAGTAGATATGAAAATTGGCAAATTCTCAAGGTAATTATAAAATTTTAAAATAATTTTTCGATGTCAAACGGAGAGACTGTGCGTGTATACCGGTTGCCGGTCATCCTCCATCGCAATCGCTGATCAGCGTCGTAGCGACTTACGCAAGAGCGTGTCTGTAATGCGAAATTACGTAACTTTTCTCTTCCTCTCGTTTCCTCTCGAGTCTCATAAAACAACGTAGGGTGAGTGGAGAAAGATAGATAGATAGATAGAGGGAGAGAGAGAGAAAGAGAGAGAGAGAGAAAGAGAGAGAGAGAGAGAGAGAGAGAGAGAGAGAGAGAGAGAGAGACAGAGGCAAAAAAGAATTACATACCGATTTGTAACATAACTCGACTACACTTGAAACTTGTAAAAAATAGGTCAATAAAATCGTTCAGATGTTCTTGAATCTTTGTAGAAAAAAGAATCATGAACTTTTTTGTGAACTTCATCAATATCATCGATAACGTCAATATATGAAACGATAGTAATTTATTCCTGATAATGAGATAATATTTATCAAGATCTTGTTTCTGCAATTTCTCGAAATTTAATCGAACTTTTTATATAATCATGAATCAGGTTCTCTCTTTTTGTTGTAATCCAAGACCTCTCGAAGAAATTACATACAAAATGGTGTTGATAACTTCTCAGCTAATTCATGTATTATGATATTTACAATTGAACGATGAATACTGATTGCCAACATCATGATATTATGTTTTACAATGTAGAACTTTAATGATCGAGATCTTAGTGTCAAATTTTTTGAGATCTCCACGAGAGCACCAGGACCGTATCGGATCGTGCGAGGACGTACCAAGTAGATGTTAATATTTTAAGCGAAAGATTGGAATTTCTGTAGAGCGTCGACGCGAACCGGTTCGCAATCGGTTAACGGCCGATTAGTCTTTAATAGACGAGGTCTGCAGCCAGGAAGGCGGAAACCAAGAGCCAATTCATTCGTTCTGGAGGGTGTCCTTTACTTCGTTTTTCTGAATCTCCTTGCGAGAAACTTAATATTTATATATATATGTATATATTTATAATATATATTTATAATAATAAATATACATATTTAATATATATTAATCCTAGACATTGTATTCCTACGATTGTAATCTCACTTTTTTTTATCTTCAATTATTCTTGTACATCAAAAGTATAATCTTCAGAAATATACTGATAAATATTTATCTTTGTAGACTGAGAGACGCCATTTCTACTTTTATTCTGGTAAGTAAGAGAGAGAGAGAGAGAGAGAGAGAGAAAGAGAAGTAGAGGAAATTTAAAAATGTGTTGCGAGGGCTATAACGGTGCACTTTAAATGGAGCTCATAATTTTCGTTTACCTTAGCGCTTTTCAATGGCGGCGTTTTATACAATAAATCGGCTTTTAAAATCCATCGTCGATTTTGTAGTGAATTGTTCACGGCTGTAATGGTCGATCGATTCTCTCTCTCTCTCTCTTTCTCTCTCTCTCTTTCTCTCTCTCTTTCTCTCTTTTTCTCTCTCTCTCGACACGACCCACTTTCCTCGGCACGTTAACTATATCCCCAATTCGATCTCCTTGCCGTTTGTCAGACACAAATGTGTTTATTGACACTCCCGCTCATAGGATCTGTTTTCCATATAAACATATTCGATTTGCTTTGAAAGTATCCAAGAACAGCGTGGATTGTATACAGAGCGTCGTTAAGGAGACGCAAAAATATCTTTTTAATAGCAAACGTTCTTAAATATAACCTGATGCCTTGTACGAAAAGAGAAAGCAGTTCAAAGTTCGTGTTTCGCACATATTTATAATATTTTTCGGTAACTACAACTCTTCGATAATTTTATTTATTTGGTTATATCAAATGTTCGATAATTTTATTTACTTGTTCATATTAAATCAATCTAAAGCATCGCTAACATCGTCCACGAACAAAGCAAAAAACGCTTCCTTTACAATGTCTATACAAGCGATGATAGTTACCATAAAGCTCACTCGATTTAAGAAAACAAAGGACAACGATATTCATAAAAGCAGATTGTGCATAGTGAAAAATAATAAGAAAAAAATACTTGATTATGATTTATCTCTATTTTAAATAGAGGTATACTATTTTAATAGATGTCATACTTTGAAAAAATTTACTTCTTGAGAAAGTCTGAAATGATTACTTCAATGTTAGAAATATAATAGTAGCACTGTTAGCAAATTGTTACTTTTATTTGAATTCTTAGAAATAATTTCCGACCAAGTATCGTCATGCTTTTAGGGAAGTTGTTACCTACTTAACCATCCTTCGTCTTCTTTCATTCGCTTTTTTTCCTAATCAGGAAGTCAAAACTTTCGCATTATGTACCCGAAAGTGTGTTTGCGTATTCCAGTAAAACCGGTGCTATTTTGTTTCCCGCATGTGGTATACGACGCGTGACGGCTTCGCTCGGCTGAAACGTAGAGCGTCACAATGAAACAGACGGGCCAGCACCACCGGTACAATGCTAATGGTGTCACGGTGACCGTATGCTAACGCTTATATCCAACAGGGGATCACGAATTGTGCAAACGGGACACGTTGTTGATCACGACGTGTCTTTTGATGGCTCTCTCAGTCGCTTCTTCCTTCATTCCTGATTTGCGATGATGAAAAGGAACGTCATGTTGACGTGTTACATGCTCAATGTTCTACGATTTACGAATACATTGATTTCGTTTGTGAAGGTAATTAAATGTCGCTGGGGAAAGCCTCCCAATTCATGGACTTATGTTTCTTTGGTTTTAATTTATAATACCGTTCTTATTTATGCCACGCATGTTTTGTTCTAAATGAATTAACGTATGCTGCTCACACCGCCATTGTGACTCCCCGACGTCTACTTACGTCCGTACGTACGTACGGACGGACGAACGGACGGACATATGTACGTAGGTACGTTCGTCGAGATTATTTTTGGTATGCAGTCTAACGAAATCGGGCGAAAGCCATCGTTCTCTTAACGAAATGATATGTGTGTTGGTACTTCAGTGCATTAGCTGTGTCTACGTGATACGTATTAGATAACACGGAAAACCACTGTACACGTTGGCGAACCACGGCAGACGTTTGTGGTTCAACGTGAATAGTCAGATCTAGTGCAGTTCGATCAATTTTCTAAGCAAGCAATTGGGCTATCAGTATGACAATATGATAAAAAATATTATTGAAATTATTGACATAGACTTGGTATGTCGATGTATTGAGTTGATTCATAAATAAGTGCCTTTATAAAAAAAAAGTTTATTACAATTTAACGATAGTTATTTATACCGTTTTAATCATTTCGATATAAAGAGAGTTGATCGAAGTTTTATAAATGATCTTTTGTAAGATAATTGGATGAAAGTACGTTATGCTAGTTTCATGAATGCAGATTTTTGAACGACTTAAAAAATGATTTATGATCTTCTGTCTGCTGTTTTGTCAAAATGAAGGTGGGCGTTTAAAGGAACTGACATTTACGCGATGATGTAATAGTTCATCGTTAAGACAAGTACTTAGGAAAAACTAGGAAAGTAAAGACATACATTTAATTATTGTGATAAAAATATCTATGGTTTATACGGTCTTCTTTGCTAATTTTTATTTTAGATAAGAACATTTTCAAGTATTTTTTCTATCTAGTATATTTGTTTGAAAGGAAAGCAATTTTTGTGGTGGTATCGTTATTGACGTTGCAAAATTTAGTGCAAATTGATTAATGAATTTCTTCTTCTCTTGTTGATCAGACTAGGTTTTCCACTTTCTAAAAATGAAAAATTTCGTTTCGTTAGTGTTTCCATGGAAATTCATTGGCTTAACTATTTCGAATCAGTAGTACAATTTTGTTTCCTGGAAAGTTGCCACCTTTTATTCAAACTCCGTCAGCAAAGCATCTTCCTCTCTTTTACCTATATATTTTATGTGACTCGAGATTCTTGGCAAGTTTTCCTAGTCTTATCTTTTGTTCAATCTTTCGCTTAAAAATCCTACAATTAACGTTCACACGGAACTTTGTGATGTGTATTTGAATAATCCCATGTTATCTTTTAAGAAAATTTAGCCAACAAAGTTGATATTAAAAAATAGTAAACGTTTAAGTTTAAGTTTAAGTTTAAAAAATCGGAATAGAATGATTTGATAAAAGGTTCATATTTAATTTTTACCTTTTATAAAATCATTTACATATTTTCATGTACCGTTTATGATTATAAAAGTCTAGCGATTTTGAAAAAATGCCATAAATTCTTGACTTCATTACAATTACTAAAATATACATGCTTTGAATACCAGTAAACATCTTTCAACGTAAACTCACATATTTTTGGCACGCTCGAAATCTTCTTACTAAAAACAAGAATTATCTATTTGAGTTAATCATACTCATTAAAATTTTTGTTGAACAAAAATTTAATTCATATATGCTATGCTTCTTCTCTTACCGTTGTACTGAAAATAATTTTTTTAAATGGAGGGAATGCGGATCTCCTCTCTCATCTTTAGAACGACGATTCATAATATATTGATAAATCACATAACGAGAGTTAACCTAGCCAATGAAGCAGACAATTAAGGTCATTCCTGTGCGAGTAACATGCACTTACTACTGCGATTACCTAATGACCTCGTACTTCACACAGACATTATGCGTTCTGCATATAATACAAGTGATAATATGCAGTTACGTGGATATCAATGATAAAAAACACATCTGGTGTATTTAATTTCGTCTTTGAAGCTGTTGATTGACGTATCAACAAAGTCAACAAGTCTATTGAAACGTATAAGAAAAACAAAATAGAAAAATGAAGAAAAAAATATCATATAATAATGTATCAAATTTTGTATATATTTGTAAAATTCATAAATGATTTTAGGTGCGACATACTTCACCACCGCCACCAGCACCAACATCTGCAGCTACTCGAAAGGAGAGTTCGTCACTTCGTGGTCCTCGAACTCTCCTTCTTAAACGTAGCGAAAATGGCTTCGGATTCACTCTCCGACATTTTATCGTTTATCCGCCCGAGTCCTGTTGCGTAAGTATAAATGGAAAAAAAAATTTAAAAAGCTAATGCACTTGTTCATAAATATAGAATTTATAAAGTTTCCAAATGGTATTTTACAGATGTTGCCAGGACACGAGCGGACAAGGATCGATGAGCCTATGGACACGATCTTCGTAAAGCAGGTGCGAGTCAATTCGCCAGCAGCAGAAGCAGGTCTTCGTACGGGTGATCGGGTGGTTTCCGTTGATGGAATACCAACACGAGGTGAACAATACGCCAGTGTAGTGCAACGTATTCAACAAGCGGGTCCTTGGTTGCGACTACTCGTTGTTTCAAAAGAAGACGATATCTTGCAACGGGTGCGAATTTTCTTCAATTCCATGACGATAAATAATTTATAATCTATGATAAAAAATAATCTATAATAAATTTTTAATAGTACTTTGGTGAAACGGCACACAATCCTGAGACGAATCAACGTCCACGATTACGTTCTCCAGAGAGGATTTCTCAGAAGCAAAGAAGATCTATCAGCATGATCCCTGGATCGTCGCCGAAAACAACGAGGCAATCATGGATTTGCTCGCTTCCAGATTCAGAGAATCAGAATACGACTTGTAGAGAAAGCGAAGAGGCTGTTTACAAAGAACAACAAGGCAACAAGATGTCACCGTCTATACCAGTTATCACGGCGCAACAAAGAAGATTCCTGCAAGAAACGAGTGTTCCTTGCGAACCTATCGAGGATAGAATGCAATCAAGAAAACTACAGCAACAACAAGCTAGAGAAGCCATGGAATCGCCTCTCCAGTCGTACAGCCGTCCCTCACCGGATCAGAGGTTCGATTTGTATGATAGAACGCGTCCCGAATCGATTTACTCTAGGTTTGTACTTTGTAATTCTCTATTCTTATCTATTAAACTAACATAGTTTACAGTTAATATTTTATTTTAGACCGAGTAACGAACAAATTTACGATCGAATTAAAGATCCTATTTACGAACGCGTTAGATCAGGTGAATCAGGCCAATTTGAGAAAGAACAACAACAGCTAACGATGTTACGTTATCCTATGTCCCGCGCGGAACCACAAGTTCCTATTTACCGTCCTGGCAGACGAGTGATAACGAGACGAGCAAGTGAAGGTAGTGGAGGGACTGGGCAAACAAATGAATCAGAAGTTCCGAGTTATGGAAGTATAGATGCTCTTAGATTAAACGATCCAAGTTTAAGGTTGAGCATGGATTCTCGAAGAGACTCCTCACCAGTCAGTAAGGGTAGTTTGTCCTCGTTTGATTCTAATTCGACCGTTACTGGAAACGAGTGCTCTGATGACTCTGTAATCATGAACAGATTACGTAAGAGTTTCGAACAAAAGGAAGAATTTTTACGCAGACCGAGTCATCCGATCGGATGGAATATCGCCGAGGATGCGTCAAGATTGCAACAAGGTAGTAGCAACTCGGCTGTTATTCAAAGAGAATTTTACGCGAGACCGCAAAAACTTCAAAGGCAAATTTGGCCGCCTAATGAGCAACAACAAAGGCAACAATCGCCTACGAGAAGAGTGGAAAATAAAAGTAATGGTAAATTGTCATTAACGAAACCGTCGAATCAAAACGTCCAAAGAGTGAAGACGGATATTGATTCTGAATCGGATTATACTAATACGCGAAGCGATCAGAATGATGATCGATCGAATCTTATTGACAGTCAACGTAGCATCAGAGATAGATTTTATTCCAGTCTTTATGAGAGCCAATTGGGCAAAGAAAATCATTTCGTTTATCTATCAACTAAAACTAACGATCAGGATAGATATAAAAACAGCAATAAATCTGTTTTCGTTAGCACCTTATCGAGAATTCATGAAAATACGTCGAACTTAGCAACGAATCAGCAACAACCTCAAGATCCTCGGAATGAATCACTTTCTGTACCATCTTCGCCAGGCCCAGATAAAAAAAATAATGACAAATTCCTGGTACCCCCGCAGGGACTACAAATTGTTTCTAGACGAGCGAAACAATTCGAGTCCGGTCGACTTCTTAGCGATGATGAAGAGCCAACCAGCGATCGAACTAATCTGTACAAAAGCGAGCTGTCTAGGTTGTCTAACAAACGAAGTGTACCAAATGTTGCTGTTATGAAGAGAGAGTTCGAGTCGAAAGCAGAATCACAAGAACCAAGAAGAATGCCTGGTAATAGAGAGAGCAGGTCGTTAGATTCCGGTAAGTATTATATTTCATTCTGAATGAATTAATGAATGACAACATGAATTGTTAGTACATTTACTTATTTATTTATCCGTTTATACGTGAATCTGATTCGACATATTACTATACAAGTAGTATATATAAATATTATGGCTTAGGAAAGGGATTGTCCGGGAACAGAATATTTCCTATAGGCAGCAAGTACATCCATTGTGAACCCCCTGCCAACTATAAAGAAGTTCAAGGTAGAATAAGACAAGCGGTTGAACCAATCAATCATTTTATTCATATTTTTTTTATTTATTTATTTATTTTTTTTTTTTAATTTTATTTATGATGGTGATCAAAATGCATTTTGATTAAACGTTGTCCATATTGTTTCAATGTTTAGTGTATACTAAGGAAAGTGAAAATTGATAATTCATTAAATACATTGTCTTAAATGATTAGACATTTATGGCTGTTATCATTAAAATAGAGAGGTCAATTACTTTGGAAAAAAAAGATATTTGATATTTGTTCTTTGCTATATGTTTTTTTTTGCAAATTTTATTTCAGTAAAATCATTCATCATAATAAACGTGAGTGATATTGTAGAAATAAAGTGTGCCATTATTAGTATGTGTGAATGCATGAGTAAAGATAAAATAAGCTTAAAGAAAATAAATAAGAGAGTCAATCAGCTTTTATTCGTGTAACAAGCATTACTATTACAGGTATACGTCGCTTTTTTATTTTTATTCAAGGTGTAAATCATAAAAATGTAAATTGTGAAAATGTTTATCGTTAGCAATGTTAATTAAAAATTTTACTTTAAGATATGGTCAAGGCTTAGAATATAGCATGAAAAATTCTGATTTCTGATTCTGAAAGTTTGTATGTATTGTTCAACAAATTTAATGTAACTAAATTTCCTCTTCAAAGATTGAATAACTTGTATCTGTTATTAATGCCAAAAATGATGAGAAACCATTTGTTCACTCATTTGATCTACTTTTACAGAAATACCAACGATGGAAATAGAAGCAGTTCATCTTAGGGCACGTAGTAATAGTGCAGAATCTTGGGAAACTGTAAACGGATCGCGTGGAAATATAAGACATACATGGCAAACAGAGCAAGAAGAGGAGAAAGACATTAGAAATGATAATAATAATGGTGATAGTAAAAACCAAAGCTATGCACAGTCTACTAGAAGTCAACTTGGTTAGTTGATTAACTTTCTTTACTTTCATATGTTTTTTGTATATCAATTATTTAAACTTATTCAATGAATGTAAATATACTTTTATTTTATCATAGCTTCTTGCGATGAAACATCAAACAATGGAGTAATCCTTAGACGACAGAAAAACGCACAATTAAGTGAGTATTTTTATTGTGTATGTTAATAAAATGATGGATTGAAAAAAAAAACGAAGTGCGTGACAATAATATTATATTATAGGTGATGAAGAGCGCGCTACGAGAAGAGTTTCCTACCTGAAAGCTACGTGGGGTGAACGAATGCACGTTGATAGCGATTTAGATCTTAGTGACACTGAACCTGTTCACGTTCTTAGAAGGTAAATACTTGTTTTGTTTTTAATTTTTTGATTTTAAATTCTATAAAGAATCTAACAAAAGGGAAGTAAAAAATGTATAATATTTAATTGATTTAATTAATTAGTATAAGTCAATTAATGTTTGATAAAACTAGGTGGACTCAAAATCTGGCTTATGTCACAACTTATCATCTTATTTATCCATTTTTGTATTTTTGCGAACATGCTTCAATAAGCACATTTCATCCTCCAAATCATTGTATACAGCTGAAATATGGTGCATGAAATTTACCGACACGAAAACCATTGTTCCTTTGGTGATGCTGTGTCAGGCAATTATATTTTCTTTTATTTCTCTTCGTGTAAGTACGTTTGAGTTTCAGTTATGTTCATATTTCCAGTGCACATAGACGATGGAGACCACCGTCATTTACAAGTGACATAGCACCGTTAAGACGAATCTTTGAGGATATGACGCAGTCTGCAAATCTTCATCGACATTCTCTTCGGTGAGGATGTAATCTTTTGTAGAAAGCCTTAAAGAAAGCATCGTATCTTTATTTTCTATTTTTCTGTTTTATTTTTGAGGCTATTTATGATTTATTTTCGTTGATTATGTATCAAACTAATAAACGAAATAATTTCATTATAATTTTCATTTTTGTAAATACATTCGATATTTCTTTTAATAATAAACAAATCTGTTTTCAGAATAGTTCTATGCAAGTAAAATGATTCTTTGTTTTTTTTATTCACGAATTATGATTGCTTTTAACTCTTTTCTTCCATTTTATTTAAATGTAATCTTTTTTTATCAGTACTCAGGGAAAACAACGACTATGTTTAGAAAGCTTTAAAAAAATCTACAATAAAACGATACTTTTTTTTTTATTTCGCGAAAATATTCGTTGTAATCCTTGGTTCTTTAGTAGAAATGAGCACAGCATTACCATTCTCCTTGAATAGTTTGGTCATGTCTATTCGTGAACTTTGTTTTGTTACAGATCTTTATATGTGTACAATGTCTTTTGTAAATCAATGTCTAGAATATTTGCTTTATGTAGGACATCTATATTCCAAGGTGACTCAAGAGGACTAACATTATTGTATCCAGATCAAATGGCTTTTTTATGTAATAACTTTATGTTTGAATTATTGTATATGTGAGTAATAAAACATTAATCATATAATATTTACAGCTTAAAATTCTGAATGTAACAAAATATACAAATAAATTGGATAATTACAGAATAAAAACTGTGAATTAATATAAGGTGATTGTTTCCAGTGATGTCATTTATATAATAAACATATATGTATGTGGGCAAAGCTTTTATATTATCAATCGTGAATGTGCAAAAATTGCAAGGATTTTATAATGTGCAAGTGTTTTATTGTATATATTTAATAACAAATGCTGTATATATGTACAAATGATATTGTATCTAATTTGAATTTTCAAGAAAGATCTAATGACACATTTTATTGAATGATCTTATTCAATCGATTCGTTCTTGTAAATAAAAATGTTTCACTTATGTATATTTTCAGTGACTACACAACATAATACTTTACATGTTGATTATCTATAGTTTATAAAAGTTCAAACGAATTGAAATGTGATATATATTTTTAATTATTTCAGTAACAGTATCATAAGTACTACGGATAGTGGCAACGAAGCTCCGAAAGAGGTTGAACCTATTGAACGAGAAGGCACACTTCACATCAAGTTCACAGTGCTCGATGGCAAGGTAAATGAAAATTTATTACTGTTTTATTTGACAATAAATCTAACAAATTATCGAATATATATTTCTTTATTTGTATATCGCAGCGATCTTCTGATCGTTCCTGGAAGCAAATTTGGGGTGTTCTTCGAGGTCCAATTTTATTTTTTTATAAGGATCGTCACAGTCAGGTAGTTAAAAAACTTGATTTAATCGTAACAAATAATACTTAAATACTCTAATTATTTTTATTATTTTACAGAGCCCTTCATCGGTTAACGATACTGAAGGTACTGTACAAAATATTGATGTAAGGTGTTCATTGGTGGATATTGCTGAGGATTATACTAAACGAAAACATGTATTACGAGTGGTGAATCCTACAGCAGAAGTGCTTTTACAAACAGAAGATGCAGCTTCGATGGCTCTTTGGCTAAGATCACTTCATAAATATGCTGCTACTGAAAAGCCATTGGTAAATTTATTTGTTAATATCTTGCTATTTTCGGAAAAAAGTATAGCATTTACGCGTATTAATATTTGTTAATATAACAATTCGTAGGATATTACCTCTAGTACTTTGAAACAACAAGCAGTACCACAAACTCCCGGACCAACAACACCCAGTGTTGCCTCTGTTCAAAATGCTAATCAAAGACTGAGTCCCTTACCCAGTCATAAAGGTATCAAGAAGTTAACATCTTTCAGAAATAGATCACCGACTGGGCAATCGCCAGTAAATAAAACAAGAAAGCCAAGTCAAATTGTAGAACCTCTTTCATCTCCAAAAACCAAAACTTGGAAGGGTAGAGTAGCTAAACAATTTAGAAGAATGCATGGTTCACCATCATCACCTACTGCACAATTGCCACCTGAAGGAGCTACATTTAAAGTGCCACTTGAACTTTGTCCATCGGTAAGAATATTTGTTTATAGCCAAATAAAATTTCATTAAATTTAATTATTCTTTCGTTACAGTCTTCCTTTTCGGAATTTGTACCTCTTATAGTTGAAATGTGTACTAGTATAGTTGAGGCACGTGGTCTTGAAGTTGTTGGAATATACAGAGTGCCAGGAAATACTGCTGCCATTTCTCAGCTTACTGAGAGTGTAAATAAAGGATTTGAAAACATTAATCTTCAGGTACGTGTCTTAATATTGCAATTTAGAATATAATACGAAGACAAATTAAATCGTTACATGTTGGTTAATTGCTAATTGTTTTTAATAGGACCCCAGATGGAGCGATGTGAATGTGATATCTTCTTTACTCAAGTCTTTCTTTCGACATTTACCAGATTCACTGTTAACTGCAGAATTATATCCCATGTTCATTGACGCGGATAAGATTGAAGATCCTCAAAGGAGAATGGCAACTATAAGGAAATTATTAAGAGATCTTCCAGAACATCATTTTGAAACACTCAAATACTTAATGTTACATTTGAAGAAAATTGTAGAACACAGTGAAGTTAATAAGATGGAAGCTAAAAATTTAGCTATTGTTTTTGGACCTACATTGGTACGCGCAAGTGGTTCAAGGGATAATATGGTTACGATGGTCACTGATATGTCTCACCAATGTAAAATAGTCGAAAGCTTATTAAATAATGTGAGTATAAAGTATTAAATTATTTTCGAATTAATCGAATACGATCTTTCTTAATAGAAATTTGCGATAAATGTATAAATATTTAATTATGATTTTTAGGTTGATTGGTTTTTCTCAGACGAAGACCTTGATGATTTAAGTAGACTTAGTGTAAATTTAAGTCTCCCAGCTGATGGTTGTGAGGTTGAACCAACATCTAATACAAATCATAATCTTCTTTTAAACAATATACAAAAAGTCGAAGGTATATTAATGGATTAACGATCTTTTCATCGAACAAAATATTTTTATTAGTCTTAATAGTACGATAATTAAATATGTATACATTTTTATTGTTCATTTTAATTATTTAAATTCTTTTTATGTAAAATATTATAAAATAATTTATAAATTACACAATTATTATTTTTTGCTAATTGCAATGCTTTTATTTATTTTTCTTTGTTTGATGTGCTATTATTTATTTTGCTTGCTTTTTTTATTTTGATAAAACAGGCATGCGTGAAATGGTATCAGCAAAGGACATTGTATCTTCAATCATATCTGCAGCTAATCGGAAAATTCAAAGAAGACGAAAAGGCCAGGACGAAGCAGAAAATGAAGAACATGATGAAGAGAAGGTTCATGTTATATATGTATATGTTATATGTAGAATATTGTTTTAATTTATAATTTCTTCAATTTGTATTGTTACATATAACTATATTTATTAATTAATTAAACAGGTTAAAATGAAGCATGAATCGGACAGTTCACCGACGATTCGACAAAGCATGGCACTTAATGAACGTCAATGTTCTGTCAGTGAAATAGTATTGATGCATGAAAACAAAAGTCACCTCAATCATTCTAATAATTCTTCCGAGCCGACTGATCGATCTTCAGCAACAAATAATAATAGTCCAGTAAGTGCTTCATCCTCTAGTCGATCCAAATATTCGAATCAACTTGTGCCTGCTATCTCTTCGAGTTCCGAATCTTCGAGACCTTTAAGCGAGGCTGGTTTGAATTGTGTGGATACAAACTCGATGACATCAAACGCATCCAATGAGACTAAACAGAGTAATGATGAGGTAGCTATAAGAACGTATGCCGGACTGAGTGCAACAACACAAGAAAGAATACGAAGGTTTGAACAGGAGACAAAGGCTATGTTGCAGAGAGATCAGCATCGCCAAAGACGCGAAGCAGAGAAGAGAGAAGAGGAAAGACGAAAAATAGAAAAGGAATGGCAAATGGCAAAACGAGAAATGGAAAATGACGATCTCTTAGATACTATAGTAGACAGTACAGTGATTCCTAATTTTCTATCCGAACGTCTCTCCAATATGAATCAGAGGTTGGCAGAAAAATCATTAGTGGATCTCCCCGAGAAACATGTTCGATCAAGATCAACGACGAGAATTACTCCGTTATCAATAGCTGTACAACAACAACCTACGGCGCGACAGAAAGCACAAGCTACTAATCAACTTACTAATGTATTAGGCGAGAAGATAAATAATGGTGTTATAAAAAAGTTTAAAACAGATAAAGAGGTGAGGCCAATGCATTCTCTTCCATTGTTCCGTTTAGTTTCATATATATGTTACATGTAGTAAAATAATTAACAACGGATATTGTGGAAATCTATTTTTTTCTTCTTTTTTTATCTTTCTTTTTTTAGCCGTCTTTAGAATCTATTTGCCTACCGCCTATTCGTTATGGCAGCTTGGATTCGTTGCATGAAGTACACACGCTTCCTCATTCTTCACCCTCGCCATCTCAACAACGGAGAGGACTTTCTGGAGATATCTCGGACGATGGTTAGTATTAAATTGTCTGTTTATTTGTTTTTTTCTTACAACTTTGTTCGATTTATCGCGGATCTGGTTTTCCTTTAGCGTATTTGATTTTTGGCACTACATTTAATCAGAATATCCTAAATCTATCTAATGTGCACACCTGTAAGTTCCAAGACTTTTTAGCAATGTAAACATACACATTAATAATATATAATAATATATTAAAATAAGGTTCTAGATTGATGACAAAAGTGAAGTATAATAATAAAGTGATAATATGTTTATAAATTTTTAATAATCTCAACTGAAAGTATTATAAAATCTTGTTAAATATGCGTCACAATATAATTGACGAACTGTGAGGAATGTAGTTTTACGTAAGGATTATATTATAAGGCAGGAAATTCGATATTAGAAAATTATCCCGTGTATTTTAATATGATAGAACTGTTACGTATAGTAATTTTTATTATTCTGCACAAAATAGCAAATTTTTTAAATCGTTTACTTATTATTGTTATGAATCGTAAATAAATGTGACGCAAACAATAGCTAAATGATACGCGCTTTCGTTTATCTGTCAATTTATTCTCTTTCTGTATTTTTCTCTTTGTAATCTCGCTTCTGATGGTCGGTGAGTGTAGCCGGATCATGTTTTCTACACTGGACTCAGAAGATTCTCACTATTAACAAAAAGCTTTCTAGGTACTTTTATCTCCTTCTTCACGTTCTTATAAAGCAACTTTTTTCAAGCAGACGAAAATGTATATCTAAGTTTTTGATCTCAAACACATTTATTTTTCTCTTCTATTATTATTATTATTACTTTTATTATTATTATTATTATTATTATTATTATTATTATTATTATTTTCTTTTTTTTTTTTTTTTTTTTTTTCTTTTTTTTTTTTTTCTAATAATTATTCAGTTACAGTAACGCGAATTAGAAATCGCTTTGTTACAGCAATGTTACGATGCGTAGCATGTCATCGAAGCATGGTGTTACAGATTTTTTCCTACAACTTTTTTACTCATAATCTTACATAACGTACAAAGATGATTCTACGATCGACTCGTTAATAAATAGAATAAAACGTCTGGGGATAATTTTTTTATTAGAAATAATCACGCACATGCAACTATTCTCGGTTTGTGATAAGAGCGTGGCAAATTTAATACAATAATTCAATTTGTATTTAACATTTGCAGTTGTAATAATCGCACTACAATATTTTATTAAAAAGAAACAAATTTATATATGATAGAGTTTATATAATATGGAATATAACTAATAGTTTATTTATCAAATTACGTATAATCGTAGAGACAGAGGAGTCAGAGCTTACTTCGTTCGATTCTGCGTATAGTACGCACTAACAAAAATTCACATTATCTGGTTTATAGATTAGTATATAAACGTGCATGCAGGTCTAGAAATATTACTTTAAATCAATATTCGTCGATAAGACAAATAAACTATATATATATACACATATATATATATATATATATATATATATACATATATATATATATATGTACATACATATATAGATATATAGATATGGATATATAGATATTTCGAAATTTCAAAATCGTTAAATATTTTGTACGCTTTTCGAAGCAACAAGCATCAAAGTATATCGTTTGCTGCCTGCTTGCTTGTTTGCCTGGCTGCTTACACGCCTGTGCTCTTATTTTGTCAAATTCCTGCCTTTTCTGCCTATTCGCCTCAGTCTACGATCTATTATCAGATTATTATACGCTTAAAAAATAAACGTGATTATTGAAATCAGAAGATTTAATCTTTCAAATTCTGTCGATAACGAGTAGAAGAGACAATAAACAAGTTAGAGAGAGAATACATCTCCGATTTCGATGATCTTATTTTGCGTGGAGAGGCGATTAAAAATTAAAAACAAAAAGTAAAGAAAAACAAAGTATCGGCTTGACTCGGACCGAGGCGGAAGGGTCTAATTGCAGAAAAAAAAAGATAGAAAGAAGACGAGGGATAGATTTATCGCGCCTCGTGATTCCATTCCTTCAGCAGCCATTCCTTCTTCGCACTCGGTTCCGATTATGACAAATCCGAATACGTTGAACGTATGTAGGCATACAGCAAGTCCGGGTTTTTGGTGCTACATATCGTCCCACCTACACGGTACCACAGGGTCCAGTGGCACCACCGCGAAGACATCGGCCTCATCATCGGCTGATCCAGCATCAACAGGCGTTAACAGTACCAGATCAGCATACAGATCATCAATCTCAGCAACAACAGCAGCACCAACAGTGCCAACAACAAACTCAAGAGCAACGAGCGAAACAACCCAGTCCTACCTACCACGACACCTTTCAGAGGTGCCAAGAGGGTCAGGCTCAGGGTCCGGTGCGCCCTCCAAGACTTTAAACAAATTTCTCCGAGGTAAATCCATCAGAGGACCACCGCAGAGCATCGTCGGTGTCCAAGGAGCTGCTGCTGACAGTTGCCTCATTCGAATGGCTTTTATCTTTTCTTCTTTTTCTCTTTCTTCTTTTTCTCTTTCTTCTTCTTCTTCTTCTTCTTCTTCTTCTTCTTCTTCTTTTTCTTTTTCTTCTTCTTTTTCTTTTTCTTTTTCTTTTTCTTTTTCTTCTTCTTCCTTTTCTTTTGTTATATTATTTTTCTCTTATCATTATTGTTTTTTTCCATCTTTTATCCGTTGCTACACAATACACAAGCAAATTCTACCTTTTGTTTAAACTTTCATCCGCTTAAACCCCTCTTTCTTTCCGTCTCTCCTACCCAACCTTCCACCCTCTCCTACTCTTTCCTTTTCTTTCTCTTTGTATTTCTTACAAAAGTTTTTTACGAAATATCAATTTCTTCGGACTCCGAATTCTATACGACTTTTTTGTCCTCCAATTTCTTTTTTCACATGGATGTGCGCGGCGTGTATGTGTGTGTTCTCGCACTTTGTGTCAGTAGTAGCGATGAAGGATATGTGTGGAAACTAAAATACCAAAAAGAAAAGAAAAGAAAGAAAATAATATTACAGCGTTTTCATGAAACGCGCGATCAAGATCATTATGCAAAGATCGTTGTCGTGAAGTATTTTCGTGATTGGAACAAATAGTTTCATCGGTTTTTACTTTTGTCTCACTTATTCGGGAACTAATAATTATGTATAACTAAAAGAAGTACGCAGGTATGCGTTATATCGAATGCTTGTATTTAATGAAATTCGATGTAATGGTACAAATCGCTATGATTAATTATTATTGCCTGCCGTTGTTATTTATTAAGATTATGTTCTCTCTAGTCACATTTTATCATTATAAAATCATAAATTATAGTAAAATTTTTTTTTCTATTTTTCCTCTTTCTTTCAGTATTTGTGCTATACTACGAAGTTTGTTTTTTTTCTTTTAAACGTTTATATCGTTTACGTTGCCTTCCTGCTACGTTATTATCCTTTCCAAGTGCTTACATTTTTTATCATTTCACTAATGTTATTACACATCACTACTACTGCTACAGCTACTACTATTATTGCTATTCCTAGTGCTATTATTATTGTTGTTGTTGTTTTTATTACTATTATTATTATTATTATTATTATTATTATTATTATTATTATATTATTATTATTATTATTATTATTATTATTATTATTATTATTATTATTATTATTATTATTATTATTATTATTATTATTATTATTATTATTGTTATTGTTATTCTTATTCTTATTATTATCATCACTATCATCATCATCATCATCATCATCATCATCATCATCATCATCATCATCATCATCATCATCATCATCATCATCATCATCATCATCATCATCATATTATTGTCGTTGCTATTTGTATTATTATTAATGTTATTGTGTTATTGTTATTATTAATATTACTCACATGATTATTACGTATTTCATTTGATCAATAGCAGGGAAAGAACGTTTCTTTGCTATTAGTTTCAATATTTCTTATCGCTATCTTATGATTATATGCATTATTATTATCGATATCATTGATTATACATAACATATATAAACATACATTGAAATGTGACAAATGCATAACTAATTAAAATTCAATACCACCAGGGTTCTATATATATATATGTTAAAATTTATATTATTTATTTACATCTCATTCGTTACATTTCAATTAATACTATGCATAAGTGTGAAGCTTATTTGTATATCGTTAGCTTCAATTGCGATGCGTCTGTAATGCGTGAAGTATAATTATGATTTATAATAGTTTTTTTGTAACTAATAGTCGCTCTTGCGTTTAATGACAATACTTAGTGATAATTACTATGCGAAGATCACGAATTTTGTAAATGTTTTTGTTGCTTTCGCTACTGTTATCGTTTGTGTTACTTTTATTTTTATCATTGTTCAACGTCATATTTTTATTATGTTTTCTCGTTATTACCGAAAGAATGTATTTTCACAGATAATCATTTCTAGGTACGAATAGAAGGCAATATTTCGTTTCTTTAAATAATTTGTATTTATTTATTTATTTATTTATTTATTTATTTATTATCATGCAGAGTTCTTATAATAATCTACATTTCACACTCTAAGATAACTAAGCGGTGCTTTGAATGTTTTTCACTAAAAACAATTATTTATGTCATATATTGATTTTTATTGGAATTAATTTTTCTTTTCAGGTAGCGATTTATTGACTAGCCTTACGACAACCTTCGATCGTAAATGGAGGTCACTCGTAAATCCATCAAGTCAAATTATTCAAACGCCCGTAGAACCTGTACCTGTCAACAATATCGAAATTTCAGATGATCAAAAAAAACAAAAGGTGGAAGATCTGTCCGAAAAGAATCAACAAACAGAAAAAGTTTACCGGGATCCTAGTCTTCATAAATCATCGATCGATAAAAATCATTTTCTTCGAGTAAAAGACGTAAGATCATATTATATATCGTGTTTTATTTATATTCAATTGACAAAGGTATTTATTAATTTTTATTTTTGTACGACCTTAGGAGGCATTAGAAAAAGATACAGATTCAACGGTTACCGAAGTACATGATACAGAAGCAATGATTACGCCGGATAACGATCGAAATGCAATCAAATTGGAAACGAAAAACGTTCTTAATCATTTGAAAGAAACTAATGCGATAACGGATTCGACTAAAAAGGAAGATGACAAAAAGAAAGAAATTATTGATATTGCTCAAATTACTGCTACAAAGGAAGGAAATGGATCGTCGACTTTTCGCAAATCTAGTGATATGGAAAATAAAACAGAAGAAAAAAAGGTTCACGATCGAGAACTCGATTCGAATTATTCAAACAAATTAGAAAAATTCGAGATATTAACAAATACCGAGGAGAGATCACGATTGAAGAGATCCGAATCATTGAATAAGAGATCGGAAAATACTTTTTCTAAATTAAAAAGATCCGAAAGTTTAAACAAGCATTCCGAAAGATTAGCTTCACCGACGAATAGTAAATTAAAGCGTTCGGAAAGTTTAAATAAACACTCCGACAGATCCGAATCGCCTAATAGTAAGCTGAAGCGATCGGAGTCGTTGACTAAAACGGAGAAGACAGAATGTAATATCAGTAAAAGACGACAATCCGTTAGAAAGGATAGTGCTACGAAATTAAAGAGGAAAAACGGGATGCCGGAGAGATCAATCAAAAGAAGACACACGGTCGGTGGTACGAAGGACTTCGATAAAGTTCACTGGCTTGATAATAAATTACAATCGGAGGCAGAGAGAGTTGTTAAAAATGATTACAAGCCAAAGAAAAGTCAACTGAGAACAAGTTCACCCGATCTAAGTACCAATCGCGTCAACGTAACAGATACTAGTTTTTTGATCGAAGTCAGTTTTCGTGGTCCCAGTAATGTTGTTTTTAATGTTACTAATGCACGACCACAATCCTTGCCAGACGCCAATTTAGCGTCGAAAGTTTTCAAAGTACCTCTCGAAAGTCACGTCTAGGTACTTCTATTTTATTAAAATAATACCTGCCATCGCTTTCAATTGATAATGCCACGTGTAATTAATTGCTAAACGAGCCATATCAAATTCGATATCAGACATTGATCAGATATTTTCACATAAACTCCGAATCGTCTAATAGTTATCAATTTGTTCAAAATATATTATAAATTTTTTCAAATTCATCGAATGTAGGTATGCAAAGCACATAAAAAATTACTCATCCGTGCCAAAGAATTTTGATATCAGTTTTTTAAAAAGTGATTCTTTAATCAACATTTTTTATCGCTTTTGTTCAAGGAATGAAATTAAAAATTTTAATAATTTTTATAAATTCAAATTGAATTCTTGATTTTGGATTTGCACGTGTATCACTTATCGTTTGCGAATGAATGAAATGCTAATACGCTGACCAAATCATTTTATGCTATTATTGTATTATGTTATGTTATATAAATTATATTATATTATATATTATGCTATAGCTGCATTGAGTATTAATGCAGTACGCATATAATGATATTCCGTTGGTAAAGAAATTTATTTGACTTTATAAGAGAAAACAAAGAAGTAATATAATATTTCTAAGAGAGCAAGCAATAATCTTGCTTCTGGTATTTATATCGTGTCAATTATCCAACACATCATATTTGTGAATTGTGATTGAGTAAATTTTTGTATATAAAGTATATATACATACATACATACATACATACATACATACATATATATATATATATATAATAAGCGGCCCGCACGAACGGTAGGATAGTTTTATACCGTGACGTCAATCTATCTTTAAATTTATATTTTAATAACCGATTTGCATATTTGTGAGCCTCTCGCATATATACGGTAGCATTGAACTTGGCTTTGTTTCACAAGGTCCTTGTAAAGATATAATGTTTAGCATAAATAGCAGAATTTGTATGCATTTGTCTCTGTGTTGAAAAATTTGTACATATTACACGTACACACACGTTAAATCTATATAAGGGTAAATGATCTAGTGAAAGTATGAAATTCGTAAATCTTCGAAAATATTATCTTATACTTTTCCCATTCAAAAAAAATCTTGCTTTTAAAGCAAATAAAAAACTAGTTAATATTCTATATCTTCTCACATAAAAGTATACACCATGTGATAAAAATGATTACGCGTCAATCTATACACATATTATACAAATTGTTATACTATATTTTCGACGCGTATTGCATAGTTTGTAATCAAGATTATTTTAATCTACGTGCGAGACTGCTGTTATGGTATTTTATAGTCTAGTAAAGGCTTAAGTTTATATATATACCGAGAGAATAATATGGTAAACGTCTGTTCTAAAAATATATAAAGAAATCTAATTTACAAAAGAGAACTCGAAGTTCTCGATAATATGCAAAGATAGGAAATGTTTTACAAATAATTTCAAGTTAATACATTTTAATCTTATGGAAATCATAAATACGCATGCTTTGGAATCAAAAAGGGAAGCTTGCAACAAGAATTTGACATCTACTGTTATATGTCTAAATCGCGTTCGCCATATAAAATCGACTATATTGCAGTTGTATTCTAAAAGACCAATGTACACAAATAATATCGCGTTCTTTAAAGTTAGTTTCATGTTAAGCTTTCACACAAACTACGTCATATATAAACACTTATATTTTCGAAGTATGGTAAGATTTGTCTCTTGCCGATTTTTTTCACTTTAAATATTCTCTTAGAGGGGTTGTGCCCTTGATATACGCGCAGATCTGGCAATCACCTTGACGGTTATGTATCTCCAATAGAAAACAAACTCATTAATGCATTTTCTTAATCACACGCGAAAATTTTATCGACATTTTCGCATATGTGATTTAAGGAGACGAGTGACTGGGGACCAGAATGAGTACTCTGATTTACTCCAAAATAATTCGAAGCTTATAGAAGCAAAAATATCTACAAGTAGATTTTGAAACTTCTTAAGATCTTTATCGATTCTTGTCCTGCATTTTCGATACATCCAAGAGCAAACATGAGTCGCTCAAACTGGCCCTTGAATTTCACTTATGTGGAAGTTCATGTTGAAGTAGCACTTAGGAATCAAGTGTAAATACAAATGTAATTAAATTTCGAGGGCCGACGGTATAATATTTATTACAAAACAATAGTATTTGTGATTGTGTTATTTATTAATTATTGCTTAAGTCTGTTGTTCGCAGAACTCTGTAACGTTGGACGGATAAAGGCATTAAATTTGTAAATAAAATCTTCCTATGAGAGACACAGATATCTTTAAGTTTTACTATTCAAGTGAATTTGTTTGAAATTCAAATATTATCCCGCCAAATATGGCGATCTAATATGGTCGTCGATTGAAACGTGGATTCGTCGTATACTCAAAACAATTTCAATTTGTAATTATAATTACGCGAGTACTATATTAATTTTATATACTTATATTATTTTAGAGTGCAATAAATTGATTTGTCTGCATTGTTCGATAAAATTATTGTTAAGAAAGCAGACAAAGTAATTGTATATACACTTGGGACAATTACTCGCCGATATTAAACTGATCCTTCTCGTTATTAAGTATCTGTAACAGGGGATAGATTAAAATGAATGTTATACGTAATGATGCGGCTCCGTCAAGAAGACGAGCTAGAAGTAGAAGATGGGGAAAATTAGGAGAAATAATAGCAAATGTTTTGCCAAAATATCGTATGTAAAAACTTCTTTCATTTTTGTAAATCGACCAGAAGAACGTATCATATATTAATTAATTTTTCATCGATAATTCAATAGGCTTTGATTTTGGAATTAGAAAGCCATTGGTTGATTTATGCCCCTCGAATTCAAATACTTTGAAAACTACAACCTATCGCACGTTAAAAAGTGCATCCACGTCGTCTTTTCTCCCAAGTTCAACTCGTAAAGGAAGTTTAGGGTAATCAAAAGTTTAATCATAATCTTTTTACATGTTTTTTTTTATACAATAAGATTTCTTTATAATTATTTCACATATAGATCAAATGCCACGAGAACGCCAGGAAGCAACACTTCCACGGAATCTTGCGTAATACTTGGTAATTTAATAAAAAACTATACAACAAAGTGTGAAATATATTAATAATATATTCTAAGATTTAATTTAATTTTATTTTGTATTTTACACCATATTTCTCTCTCTCTCTCTCTCTCTCTCTCTCTCTCTCTCTCTCTTTCTCTTTTAAAAAAATAAATTATTTTAGACATATAGCCAATTCCATCAAGTTTTAGAACTAATTATAGTGTATCTCTTGACAATATATAAACATAACATTCATATACGAATAAATGCTTATGTACATATATACATAAATATATGCATACAGAGTTCTATATATACATATATAAATGTTGCCTATCGTTAGGAGTATTTAAATGTTTCAAATCATCTGATTACACAATGTAGCAGTAACATCCGGACGTGGCGAAGCAAGAGGAGAAATCGGAATAGCTGCAATAGATATTCATCATTCACATTTAATTCTTTGTCAAATGAGCGATTATCAGACATATATTAATACCTTAACAAAAATTTATATATTTAATCCAGTGGAAGTCAGTATGATAATAGTAGCGAATTATGAAATAATATAAGAATATATTTACAAGATATATAATAATTTTAGATTCTCATGCCCGACACTATGTGCAATGAAAGAAGAAACAGGAATAAACTGTATTGTTCTATTAAAGACAAGTTTCCTAATCTATGCATCACTCCGGTATCAAGAATTCATTTTAATGAATTTATCGGATTGGAACGTGTAAAAACTCATTGTGCGAAAGAATATTCGACGGTGGAATTATTTTTGAAACAAAAGTAAATATCAAAATTTGTCTGTAAAATATAATGAAATTAATATAATTACAAATATTTAATATCTAATATCTAATATTGTAGATATTATGCATTAGCATCAGTATCAGCTTTATTGAAATACATCGAATTTATTCAACATATCGTTTACGCACCAAAATCGATCAGAATTGAGTTTCAAGGCTCACCCAATACTACTATTATAGGTGATTACAATATAAAAATCAAATATTTGTATATTCCGTATTTATATTTAATTTTTTTCCCGTTTTATTATAGACATAGAAAGTGCACAGAGTTTAGAATTAGTTGTGTCTCAATGTGGTCAACCAAATGCTAGCCTCTTGAGTTCTATGGATCATTGCGTTACACCAATGGGTAGAAGACTTTTAAGAGCATCTATTTTACAACCTCTTTGTGATGAGAAAATGATAATAGAACGTCAAAGTAGCATTACTGAGTTAGTGTCGAATCGCTCATTATGCAATCTCGTTCAGGTAATCAATTTCTATTGGATATATTATTATTATACTCGTGACGATAATTATAATTATTTATTGTACAATCGTGCTTTTTTCTTTAGCCTTTTATAAGAAGATTATATGGCGCGGATCGTCTTTTGAGTCTCTCTATGATGACTTCACAACACAATACTGTACAAAATGCAGAGAGAAATTTAAATTATGTGCTTCTCTTAAAAAATTCCCTTGATATTGTGCCAGAATTGCGAGAAGCACTTGAAAGTGCTCGAGCTCTATTTTTTACTAAAGTTCGAAAAGTATTATTTTTATTTAAATGTTATGATTTTAATTTGATTATTACGAACGACTTTAGATTTATTTTGATACATATTTTCAGAATTTAGAGAATTCACAATTCGAAATAATGAAAAATAAAATTCTAGAAATAATACATCCTGATGCAAGATCTCTAGTAGGATATACATCATCGAACATGCAACGATGTTTTGCTATTAAACCAGGCATTAGTGATTTATTGGATATTGCTCGACAAACATATTGCGAACTTATAAGTGATATGAAAAGTCAGTATGATCGCTTATTAAAAATACACTTTAAAGCATTTAATATTTATTCTTCCTTCGTATAACATGATACTTTTCCTAATATTTCTTCAGCTCTGGTGGAAAACTTAGCGATACAATATAAAATGAATTTATCACTGGAATGCAACTCATCTTTAGGATTTTATATTTTAGCAGAAATATCTCGACATTCGGATTTCCGACCCTCCGATTTATCATCGGAATTCGTTCAAGTAAATAAATTATATAGATGCTTAAATTCTTACGTATCATTTTTCATGTTCACATTTTATTTTTAAATAGGTACAAAAAAATAAAAACACCTATTCTATGACAACAAACAAATTATTAGTATTAAGTCATCAATGTAAAATTGCTTGCGAAGATCTTCATATAATGAGCAACACGTAAGTCTTTTTTAATAGCATGTTAAATAAAATGATTTAATATACAAATCTTTCTCTCTCTTTCTCTATGTATTATATTAGTGTAATATAAAATTAAAATGAAAATTGCAGAATTTTAAATGATTTGCTTGTAAACATTCGCGATCACATCGGCTGTCTTTATCAACTAAGTGCTGATGTTGCAGAATTAGATTTAATAATCTCTTTAGCTCATATCAGTTCATCTCCTGAATATGTACAACCAATTTTTGGACCAAGATTAGAACTTATAGATTCATTACATCCTATAATGGGAATATTCGGAACAGAACGACCTGTACCTAATGACGTGGTATAAATTTTAATATAAAATATCTCATTGTGTTAATATACTTAGTAATTTTAATGATATTATAGAGAGCATCGATACCTTACAATCATCATACCATAATTGGACCTAACATGAGTGGTAAATCAATTTACTTGAAACAAATAGTTTTATTACATATTATGGCACAGGTAGTACATAGATATATAATATATAAATATAAATATAGATATATAATTATTAAATATTTTATTTATTAATTATAATTAAATCATTTTTTTTTAGATTGGTTGCTACGTTCCAGCAAGAAGAGCGGAATTTAGAATTACCGATCGTATATTTTGTAGGATATGTTTTCGCGATGACATAGAATGTAATGCTTCCACATTTGTTGTTGAGGTAGATAAATAATTCGATTTAAAAATCGTTATTTATGTTATATGCATAAAATGAATTAATTAAATTTTTTTCAGATGAAAGAAGCCCAATACATTCTACAATCAATTACATCTAAATCATTAGTTATCTTAGATGAGCTTTGTAGAGGTACCACCGTTGAAGAAGGTTCATCTATTACGTGGGCAATATGCGAAAAACTATTAATTACCACCGCGTTTACTTTCAGTGCGACGCATTTTCGTTATCTCACCAAATTAGCTGAAATATATTATAATGTTACGAAGTACGTTATTTTTTTCTTTTTCTTTTTTTAATTCTTTTAAAATTTATTTCTAGAAATACTAATATACTAATTAATTAACAGTCATTGTTTCAAGACTGAAACTAAATACATAGAAGGTTTAGACGAAGCTCGATTAATATATACACATAAATTAATGGTAGGTGTAACTCCTACAGATAATTATGGTATTGCATTAGCCGAAGTATCAGGTCTTCCAGTTTCTATCACTACCAAAGCTCGAGAATACGTAAAAAAAGAAGTTACAATAATAAAAGTAAGAAGATAACAATAATCAAAATGATTTTTAATAAGAGGTTAAAATATTAATCATTAATAATTATGTTTATTACTTTTAGAGAGATGATTATTTTATGGAACCAAATTCATGGGAGAAGACATGTTATGATCGTGTTGCAGAAATGTATAAACTCATAGAAAATAACGAATTCAATCGTAAAACTATCGTCGGTCTTATACATGAACTTGATGTTTGTAACACAGACGAATTTAAAAAAATGCAACAAGAAGACAAAGATTTGTGCAAAGCTTTGGAAACTTTTGAATCAGTTCAAATGTCTAATTTAAATTGGCACAATATAGAGCTCTCCCCTACAAATCGAGAAAATGATATAACAATTTATTTCGACGTTAATACAAATGTTATGATGAAAACAAATCTGACAAAAGATACAAATATAATACAGAATTCAAATAAACAATTTAGAGGTATTACTGATGAAAATCAAAAAGAAATATTAGGAGAACAATCTTGGTTCAGAAAAGATATTGACTTAAATACAATTAAACAAAATCCGAGCTATGTTACATGTTCGACACATACGTCTCCTTTTAAAATAAATGAAGCGGGTCGCAAGTTAACAACTTTGATAAATACAACTTCTAAACTATTGTATAATTCGGATGAATCACCGAAAAACCAAACAGATTCAAGCACTTCTAAAAGAATATCCTCCTCTTTACAATTTGAAAAATCGAATAACGTCGATAAGAAAAATTCCTTATCCAGTCAAACTATATCAACGATGTCCCCATTAATTTCTTTCAGATGTTCACAAGTTTCTCAACTTCATAAATATTCTTTAATGGAATCAGATTTTGATCCTTCTTTGTCAAGAGCGTCTACCTTGACAGATATAGCAGAGATTAATACTTGTAAAGAACAAATAAACATTTTTAAGAATACTGAAAGTAACAAATTTGAAAAATTAGAATTTTCCTAATAAAATAAATCGTGCAAACGATACCATTAAAATTAATAATAATAATTGAAGTAAAATTTGTATTTATTATATACGATTTCAATATAATTAAACAATATTCTAATTAAATAATACATAATTGCAGTTTATTTATTATTGAAAAAAACTAACCTATATTTAATTATCATTTTATTCATATTATGTATTTTTCTACTTTCTCTAAAGAGAACTTGTTAGTGTCGCGATCTTTTGATGAAATGATAAAACTAATAACGAAAGATTGAATACGTGTTCATATCAAAATATTTTATCAATATTTTTCTTATAAACAACGTATTAAACGATATTTATTTATATTTAATCGTATGTAATTTATTGATTATATCTGAAATTGTTTTTAAAGTTTATCTTTATATTGTGAGTTAAACAAGGTTAAGATTTTCACAAATTTGCAATGAGTCACATCTATGAAACGTGGAACTTTTAGTATTGTTAATTATATGTTTTATTAGATAGTTGAATAGTCAGTGGTCAAATTTTATAAAAAAAACAGCCATTTACTTAAAGGATATAAATACACAATGGCTCCTAGAAGAAATAAAGCTGGTCTCTTAGCTAGGGTTAACTTTCCTCTTTACACTCTGCAAATGTTGACCAGTAGACATATACTAGTTGGAGGTGGTGGTGGATCCTCAAAAACTGGAGTTGCAAATGGATTTGTAAGATTCAGTTTCTATATTTTCCTCATTTTATAATATAATTTATATTATTTAAATATATAAAAATCTATCATATTATAGGAAATATTTGAACTTCTTCATGATGGAGTACAATTTCTTGCCGAAGAAGTTACAAGACATGAAACAGGTCCTACTGTAGTCATGAACTGTGCTACATATAATAATGAGAAAAGGTCATGGATACTAGCTGGCCAAGAGAATCACTGTCAGTTGTATAATGTAAACACTAAAGTAATAAATGTAGAAAATGGAGAAGTAATTAAAAAGGCTGGCAATATAACAAAGGATAATGTCAGAAATAGAAAAATTAATGAAAAGATTGAAGAAGAGTGGACAACGAAGGGAAAAATACAAGAAATTAAAGATGATAATTATAATATTAAGTGCAAAAAGTTACAGCTAATTATAAAACCTATTGATAGTGTTCAAACAGATTTTAGGTAATTAATTTCTATGTATGTTATTATTAAGCCTATCTTATATTCTAATTTGTTTTTATATCTAATATATTTGTTTTTTTATTAATTTAGTGAAGATGAATCATTACAAAGAATAGTTCGTATAAGTTTCAATGGAAAATTTATGGCCACTGGTGGTACAGATAGTTGCATAAGAATATGGAAATTTCCACAATTGCAAAAATTGCATGATTTAAAAGCACATCAAAAAGAAATAGATGATATTGATTTTAGCCCAGATAATAATTCATTGATAACTATAGCTAAAGATGGTAAAGCAATTTTATGGGACGTTGCCAGTGGTTCATTAAATAAAGAACTCACATGGAATACTCCAAATAATACAAAATATATGTACAAAAGATGTCGATTTAGAATATCAGAAGAAAATAAATTATTGAATCAACTATTTCTTCTTTCTAATGCAACTATGGGAAAAGATCCAAGTTTTCTTCAATTATGGGATACAGAATCTGGAAATATAATCAAATTTATTATTTACAAGGAAACTTTATCTGCTTTAGCAGTCTCTGATGATGGAAAATTTGTAGCTGTTGGAACAATGTTCTCTGGTAGTGTAGACATATACGTAGCTTTCAGCTTAAGAAGAGTACTGCATGTACCTGGAGCACACAATATGTTTGTAACTGGCTTAGAGTTCTTACCCACAAAATTAGATGGACCACCCATCACTAGTAATTCAGAAACTTCAGTAATTAGCATTTCTATAGATAACAGAATTTGTATACACAGTATACCATTTAGACGTAAGTAGCAAAATAGTTGTTAACTTTTTAGTTTCAGTTTAAATAAAGGAAATTAATAATCTTACATAAATTATATGCATTTCAGATACAATACCATTTTGGCTCGGCATGTTGCTGATAATCCTGAGTATTTGTGCAGCATTTATATTTTGTAGCTATCTTGGTATTTGACTGACAGAATTTATTGTCAAAATATCACATCAATTTGTTTGTATCAGAAAAATATGCAAATATTTCAATTATTACATTCTAACGCCAATTATCTTTCACTTTAGAGTTTAAACTTTATGAGCATGTGTGTAATATCTGATAAATTGCAGGATTAATTAAAAATATTTAAAATATTCAAAAAGTATATATAGTATATAAGAAAGATATAATTATTCACTAATCGTTATGTAAATTGTATAAATTTCGTTTATAATACATATATTAACTTATACAAGCATATTTATATGAACATTCGAATAATCCCGGAGTTTATCAAATATTGCATGTTTTTAATAAGAGGAAGCGCACGAATATTGTAAATATAGACTTGGAATTGACCAAACGTGTCTATTTTCTTTGAATATACGAAGATTATTCAATAGTGTATAATATTGAATTTTTATATATATATTATAATTTGTAATATAAATTATAATATATATATTTAATATATAATATATATTATATAAATGTTTTATACTATTTATTATATATGGTAATAGTTTCCTAATTTTAATTAAATAATTTAATTACAATATTTTAATCATGATAGATCCTCCTATAACAAAATATTTTTAATCAAACTGACATATTATTCATTAAATAATAATTGATTAAACAAATACGTTTATTACTTGTAATATATATTTGATGCCGGGTTTATTGTACTTATAAAAGATATAATTATTCTAGTTAATTCTACAACTTGATTTGCAATGCAAAATGCATTTATAATAAAATATTAAATAAAATATAAGTATATAACGTCTTTTATTAAATGATATTGTAGTATTGTTCAAAATAAAGATTAAAGGGAATTTTACTATCATTAATAATAAGCACTAATAGGTTTTGTCTGTATACTATTTTTATAGAAAAGAAAGTTAACTTTAAACTTTAATTATTAATTATAAACGCATTACTTATAATCAATGAGATTCGAAGTATCACTTAAACAAGGTATTATTTCTATAACTTTTCAGCAAAAATAATTATTATAATATTTTAAATATTCTGTAATATATTTAAAAATATATAATATTGTAAAAGTGCATGAGAAATACTTAGAAATTATTATAAGAAAAATATTCCAAAGATTTATTATAATTATTAGTGTAATCTATATATACTCCTGGACAAAATGATAGCACATGTGGGTTATCTTTAATTTTTCAAAGACAACTTAGAATTTATAAATATATTAAATAGTGCATAAATGTCAAGATGCGAGAAGAAAGAATCTGTTTAAGACAAGGTCTTTCTTTTTAACATTTATTATATGTAAAGAAAACCAAAATTTTACGTTTTACGAAATTATAATACATTAACAAAATTTATATGTATATTTATAACAAAAAGAAAATTTTCTTCTTAATTAATATGAAATTAATAATGTGTGTAACCGCCTTTGTTCTCTATAATTTCGATCATACGGTTTGGTAAAGATTTCTCGAACTTTTTGATGGTATTCTGAGACAACTTATTCCATTCTACGATAATCGATTCTTTTAATTCTTGAACATTATTGTACTGTCTTCCATTCTTGTATATGGCGCGCGTGAGTTCTTCCCAACAATTTTCGTTCTCAACAATTATATATTCAAACTGGGAACCATGCAGGCCATGACGTAACTGATACATTCTTTCTTTTAAAAAATGTTTCTACAACTTTTGTTCAATGAATGGCAGAAATCATGCTGGAAAATATATTTGCCTTTAATAATTCGTTATGCATGCTTATTTATTTGTTCTGAAATTAATTTTATATATTTTTGGATATTCATTTTCCCGTCGATGAATTATAAATCGGTTTTGCCTTTGCACCCGATTCCGATCTAGATCACACCACCACTCATTTGTCGTCGTTCTTTTTTGCAGTGAATACATTTTTTCGCAAATGTTAATCATTATTCTTTTTGTTATTTCTGTGATACCTGCTTCGCGAGCAATTTCGTGTGATATTAATATAGAGTTCGAGGCGATACGTATAATGTTTTTCCAATTCTGATAATGTTGGCAGTCTTCCACAACTTTTTTCTTCCCATAATTTGCAGGATAATTAAATAAATTATATATTATTCTACGACTTCTTTTAACAATGCTTGAAATTTTACGAACAGTTAAATTTATTTCAATGATCCTTCAAATCTCGGTTTCATTTAATTTCTTTCTACGAACCATATCGAAACTTATTTGAACAACGTAACACTTGATGTTGATAATTTGATAGATCACGAACTACTGAAAAATATCAACCAAAATTTCAAGTATGCTATTATTTTATCTTCAGCATTTATCTCTTTTTTTCTGTTTACTCAGAAAGTCAATGAGAATAACAGATTTTTTCTTCCAATATCATGACATTTATATGCTATTTTCTATATTTAGAAATTCTAAGTTAAAAATAGCACACAAGTACTATTATTTTATCCGGGAGTGTAATATAGATATGTATATGAATTCGCAATAGTTCACCATTTTGCGGTAAAAATTAAGACTGTTCATTATCCCCAGTTTTATTATTTTATGTCAACAATGAAGCTAGACATGAGTCTACTCTTAAAGAAGAATATGACTCTTGAATTTTTTGAAATTTTATTTTCTTTGAAAAAATATGGTGAGAAAAAATAATGTTTTTTCTAGAATAATTCATATATATAAAAATAATGTTTTGTCAAAAATTCGAAAGAGTTATCTCCAGGTTTATACATACTATCATCCTTAAAATGAAATCTTATTTATCAAAATCGGTCAAGAATTATACTTGGATTCATTATTGGCGTTTTCGTGAAAAATAAATTTTGTGAAGTGGCGCCCCTTGAAATTTACGATGAAAAAAAGAAACTTGTTCCCATTACTGATTTTCATATCATACTTGAATAGTGTAGGTTTTACGATACAATTCTTTCATTATTAATTGAGTTATATTTAAATAATAGTACGCAACAATGCAATTGTACATACAACTGTATGCAATACGTACAGTTGTATGTACAATTGCATTGTACGTAGAATCAGTATTGCTCACCACAAATGAAAATATCGACAGAAATAAGAAACTCATTTATAGTTTTTCATCGCTTAAGCAGTCTTATACATCGATAGATGCATAAGTGCATGGTGATGCAGTATTCTCCATTTGCGCTTATAGTTCATATTCTTCTATACTTGTCACTGAAGTCACACATGCTTCGAGCAAAAGATAATGAATGAATTAAATATGGGAATAGAAATATAGAATAGTAATACAGTTTATCAAAAAAGAACATTACTAGTATCGCATAAAGCTATCTTATAACCAGAATTAATAAGTCGACGTTAAATCATGGCGTCATCTAGTAATGAAAATAAAAACTACAACGTTCGTTACAATATATCCATGGAGCTATTCAATAATAAGAATTGACATTATTAAATTTAGCAAAAATACAAAGGTGCTATCTAGTGGTCGTGTTTACATAAAAGAGAAGTATTCGAGAACTCCTTGTCCCTGATGTTTTCCTGTTAACAAAACTCATTTTTCGTCGAAACAGCTAACCCTGGAAGACCCGAGTAAGTATATGGAAATAACGAAAATTTTGTGAACATTGTTTTTATATTATTTGAGATCTCTTCATTAACTTTTTAATATTTTATTGTTTAAGATTTTTTAAATTATATATTTCTTTTAAAAGATTAATTTTATAATATTTAATGATTCACTTCTATTTATTATTTTATCGAAATAAATTCATTAAAAATGAAATTAAAAAGAAATTGTTTATAGATACATAGTGTTTCAACAAGTGTATTATGTAAACACTTTTACAACTCGAATTAATTTAAACATTAGTTCTATGTATTCATAAATTATAATACACAATTTTATATGTAATATATTTGCAGTATTTAAAAATATGAGCATAAATAAAGAGAGCTGCAACGTTTCTCCTCAAGTAGAGTAGTGACTTGTGGATTTGAAATTAACTGACATCGAAATTGAGTAGATTAAAATAACGCAACAGAATATTTTGTATTCATGTTGCGTTAATATCGATGTAATATTTAAACAAATCTGGTTTTTTCTCTTTTTTAAACAATTCATATATTGATTACTTTAATGGATATGATAAACGTTTAAAATAATTTTCTTTAATAATAAAATCTTAAAATTTTTATTTTAACTTTATTGTTTTATTTAGATTGTAAAATCTGTTAATGTGATATACAAGATATCTTTTACAAATATGTAAAGTAAGAAAGTCAAGTAAAGAGAAAAAAGAGAATAAGTATTAATAGAGCCCGTAAACAATGTAGAATTCATTCCTGGTTTTATTTTAAACTACAATAATATTTCACAAAAGATTTTTCGTATCGCATTATGATGATATACAATGTATTTATCGATATACAAAATTATATACTTGTATAATAATAATATTATTTTCAACTTGAAGATGCTGAAGCAATATATAGATTATATAAAATTAGAATTAATATTTAATCGTTAGCTACCAGAAATATTCATCGTTTAAATTGATTAAATTATAATTTATGTACAAATATATGTATGTATGTATGTATGTATATAAATATTTTATATATATATAAAATATCTCGTATATATATATATATATAAAACAGAAGTTATCAGTGCTTATCGATAATGAATAAATTTATTTATTTATTATATTATAATGAAATAAATGATTGTCAAATGTATAAAAGTAATTATTTTTCTTATTTTCTATTAAGCATAACGAGAAGAAGTCTCCATTCTCTATTAGATTGTTGTTAAATCGTTATGTAAAATAATTCTTTCGCTTAATTTATTACATTTTAAGACAACGCAATGTCTGAGGTGGTACTCTAGATGCATATTGGAAAGAGTTTTCCATAACACGATTGACATCGTTGTGAACATTCGCATTATCACGATCCTCTTCCAACTGATCCTGTTCGGCATTTTCAAGGTCGATGACGAATTCTCTATTTCCCATTAGGGTAGTTAAACACATATTTTGCTCCTTTATAATCGATCGTACGAACAATTCCAATGTAAAAAGATGCTCATCTTGTGCCTCGGGTATATAATTATGCATAAAATCTGCTAATCTGTAATGAAACGTAAAAATAATTTTTAAAAAATTGTCCTTTTAATAATTTTAAACGAACATATCTGCATTCCGATCTAAATTTAAAAAGTAAGTTTTAAACAATTATTTTATTTATTAGTTAAACAAATTTATTTTTAAACAAGTGTATTATTTAAATATACTAGCAATTATTTTAATATAATTGCTAATATGATTTTTGAAAATAATTACAATATTACAATAATTATATATATATATATATATATGTGTGTGTGTGTGTGTGTATATATATATATATATATTGTTCTTTTAATTATTATTATATACAGGCTGTATCAGCTTTTTCCGCCAAACTGTACCAATATGTTTTATGAGTAGAAATAAAAAATAAATGTTATATAAATACTTTATTAAAAAGTTATAACAAAAATTAAATAAAATAATAACGTTGTGCATTTTTATTATTAATACGATATCATATTCGTCGTGTGAAAAATAAACATTAAAAGAGAATAAAAGTGATTACAATTTTGTGAATGGCACGTTTTATGCAGCCGATAAAAATAATCATTTTCTATTAAGGGTACTATGGACCGATGAAGCAACGTTTAAAAGGTTAAAATAATCATGTATAGTCATAAAAAATATCCATACAAAATTAGATCTTTCAACGGCTATTCAAATTTAATATAAATGGTAGACATTTTGAAATACAATAATATAACGGAATAATAATAGTTAAAAAAGTACAATACGTCGTCGTTTTACAGTACCATTTTGATAATAAAAATGTTATTTTTCTTATAACTTTTTAATAAAGCATTTGTAAGTTTATGTTCATATGTACCTTTTTTCTTATTTCTAGAACATATTAGCAGAGTTTGGTAGTAAAATAACCTGGAACATCCTCTATATATATGTGTATTAACATTACTTTTTAATTTAATTGCTAAAATGATCATTTTGTAATTATTATAAACATATAATGAGATATTTTTTGTTTTTTACCGTAAGAGATATTCAACGTTGTGTCCACTTGATCCTGAACATTCTGTAATCTGTTTTGCTATGCTACGTAACGATGCCTCCCCAAGCCAATGTTGATTCTCTTTAGTGGCTATATAAATAATTACTGGAAAGCTACTGTTTCCGTCACGAGTGTAAAACATCGAAATAATTGTGAGATATCCGCCCAAGGAACATTCCCTTTTTTGTAAATAAGGTAAAGCCGTGCTATTTGTTACTTGAAAAACTCGACCATAAACGATTCCCTGTTAATTAATAAATAATATATATAATTACAATATACAGATTTTATACGATAATCATTGTTTCAAATAAATATTACATATAGTTACAGTATCATATATATTGTTTTATATGTATTAATAAATATAATATTGTTTTATTACAATTTTAAAAGTCAAATTTTTTTTTAAATATCTGTCAAAATTATATTATAAATATTTAAAAAAAGTAAAGAACAAATAAGATTTCATTTACCTCTTTCTGTTCTATCAAAGTAGCAACGCGACCGGGCTGAAAAAACAAATATATCTTATTTTGTTAAACAAATGTTTTGTTTATTTTTATAAATTTCAACTATCATTCGTACTGATGTACGCGTTTATTTATCAACTATCTAAAGAAAATTAAAACATGTATGTATATACATACATGTAAAAACGTTAAAGATAGCATAGCAGTATTTTATATCGTTCGACTGTGAACATACACGCGTGGGTTTAGACACGTCTGTGTGATATTCTGTGGAAATATAAAAGTAACACATATAAAGATGTCAGTTTATACTGGTTTCTAACTGGTTTAGCTTAGTATAAACGAGAGGTAGTTTTATTATATTTATCAAGAGACAACAACTTTCTCCTTATTTGATGCAAAAATTTATGCAAAGAATTTTAATATGCTCATTATCGATTTACTTAATTTTATTATTCCTCTATCAAGTCTATTTGTATTATTATATTTGTAATGCAATATTAAATATCTAATAGAAATGTAAAAATAATATCATCGTTAAACGAATACAAATGATTTTTTAATTATATCAATATCGGCGTCATGATTTTTATTTCTAGTAAATTTTTGTTCTTTCTGATAATAAAAAAAGAAAAAAAATCTTGTCCTTAATTATTAATGTACATTTAGACTTTCAGTCAATCTTATATAGATTAATGTTATCATCTGAAAGACCAAATGATATAACGTGGAATAATGTAAGATCATGAACAAAATTCGCTCAAATTTCACGAGAATTATTGTTATTATATAAAACTGAAGCGTTTCATCGGAATTATATATCAAAGAAAAAAAAATATATAAAAGTTATATCATAGAAGATATTCACGAGAATTATTGTTATTATGTACAACTGCAATGATTTATCGGAGTTTTATATTAAAAAGAAAAGAAAAAGAATATATATGTATATAAAAGTCATATCACAGGCGGTATTCTAATCGATCTCATATACTTTAAAATGTCAGATAAGAAATTATGTAAAAATATATCGACGAAATAACGAACGAAATAAATTTGATAAAAGCACTACGATGCGATAGAATTTTAATTATTATTTTTTATACAATTTGATCATGCACACAAACACAAAAAATTTAAATAAACAATCCTTATTTTTATCTGTTGAGAAATTAATTTACAAGAAAAAAGAAAAGAAAAAAAATTAGATGCCGCATAACATGGTAAGTTCGATTCACACATTTCAGTTCGATCTCAATTCAATCTTCGTAATTTACATTAGAGGAATTGTGTATGATCGGATCGGTGATTGAACTAGCAATGAGACAATGGAAATCTGTGAACGTGTACATTTAAAATACATACAATAATGTTATAATCATTTTGACCGAAATGAATTATTATATGTGAATTGACCTTTATGCAATTTCTCAGAAGAGAACATTATATTTGTAAAATATTCACGAGCGTGATCATTGACGTCATAAGATGATAAATACAACGTTGTAGAAATAGTTGCCGAACTTACCTTCTCCGTTGTACCACGATGAGTTGTGTTTCCTTGCCAAAATCGTCTGGCAAATCCTTTTACAAAACCAGTTGTACTTTTAGTATACTCGAAACCGGGGTTCCAGCAAAGAGACCCGTAACCAAAAATCCAAAGACCATTGTTGCTATCCATCGTTATTAATAATTATGTATTGTAATATTGACAGTATAGATTTAGACAAACCATCATCTTCCGACAACCATCAAGATTTTAATTAGTTTTTCCCTTTATCGACTTTATCATCATCAAATCGAAAGCTTTGTTGAACTCAATATTAATGATCTTTTTGGATTTGCGTTTACTCTATTGTTCATTTTAATTATTATATATGAATAAAAACTGCGAGTAAACTATATATAAACTTTGGCATTTCCATCGCTGTTGCAAATGGATAAAGGTTTATTAAAAAATAATAAAATAAATAATTGTATTTCTTTCATCTCATTAAAATGCTTTTTCTATTTTGCGAAAAATTTCCCTTAATTTCACCTTAACGATAAAACGTGAATAACGATTTGTTGATTCATTTTGACTAATGAACTTTGGATCTTTCCTTTTACTACTTCCAATTGAACTTCTTTTTCTTTCCACGATAATTTTGAATTTCGCGAATAATGAATATCGTAAGAGGCGCTTCCTGCGCTCGTTTCCATCGATTCAATGTCGATCACTGTACCGGTAGTCGAAAACTTTCCAAGTCCACACGTGCCACGTGCTCTTAATGATATCTTCGATATAAACTATTGACCTTCAATCTCTTCTTCTTCTTCTTCTTCGTGCTATATGTATTTTTATCAATGAGCTCTTACCGAAATATAATTTATGTTATTTCTCTTTTTCCCCTTTCTTTCTTTTTCTTTCTATCTTTCTCATCACTAGACTGTTTTATATATTATTTGTTGATCCAATTTTGTACCTCAAATTGCTATTTAGACAACATTTATTGTGGAAAGTAAGTACTGATTCTAATTTTTTTTTTAATGTACACTGATGTTCCGTTAAAGAAGATACCTACCTTGTCTTTAAAGATCTTTGACTGATTACAAAATACGAAAATTCAAATAAACAATCAAATATATATTACACTGAAGGCTCTTTCGATCGTATTTTAAGAAATTGTATATTGTATATTTATATAATGAAATATTAACAAAAGCCCACTTAGATATAAACACGGCACGGAGGACGAGCCAAGACTGTCGACTAGTTTGAGCGTTGAATGCTTCTGCGCTTCTTTTGTAAGAGAAAGAAAGACAGAGAGAGAAACGGAATTCGCAAAAGATAGGGTGGATAGAAGATTAGAGTAAGAGAGGAACGTCAGAAGGATGATGAAACAAGTTGAACAATTGACGCATTTTAGTCGTTAGTTCATTCATTGATAATCTTCGAGCAATAAAATCGAATTATTGAGAGGGAATAGTTGTTAGGTTATAAAAATAAAGTGATCATATAAATTCTTTTTAAGATTATATGAGATTTCATTTCTTATGTACGTACAATTACTTCTTGTGATTTTAATAATGATTTTTACCTTCTATACATTTGGAAAATAAATTACGCATACATGTTAATTAAAAAGATTAAAACATTTATTCAACTTAAAAAAGATTTTAATTTTCATTGATTTTTTATTAAAGATGATCCAACTTATCGACGAATAAAAGTTTATTTATTCTGTGATGATAAATAAGTTCCCGATCTGTCGCCAGATAGCTCTGATAACAATATCACAATTTTTTCGATCTTCATACATCAGATACACACAAGCAATTTAGAATATCAAATGACACATGAATCTATATATATACACACACATATACTATTATATAATATATAGAATAGTGAGTTTTTAACCTCGATATTTAAAAACAAGCATGATAAGTTGACGTATTTAAACGTCAACGATTAAATTTGTTATATCACATTAAATTTATTTGCAGTGTTTAGTAGTTCTATCATTTGTGTTTTTTATTACAAATACAGATTCCACTACTTCTAAAAAAACCTTTCTTCCAAAAAAGCGTGTTGTGATTTTTTACATTGATAAATACTTTTTAAAACATAATGAAACGAGACACAGTTTCACCATCTCCTGATGCGGTAAGCCAAATAGATGAAGAGGATCTGATATACAATGAAGATGTAATCGAAGTGATAGATTCTGATACACTTAATGATGAAGAAGCAATGAAGACAGATCTAGAAAAAGGAGATGCATCTTTTGTATTTACTGGACACAAATTTGGTTAGTAGATGTTATGATTTTGTAATTCCATGAGGTTGTAGTATAAGAGACTTAAATTTATTATAACATCAGGTTCTGTCTTTTGCGGTTCTTTAAGTAAAGCTGGAAAGTTTGCTGTGACTGGAGGAGAAGAAGATAAGGCCTATGTTTGGGATACAACATCTGGAGAAATAATCCTAAATTGCACAGGTCATAAAGATAGTGTTATATTTGCTGAATTTAATTTTGATGAAACTTATTTGGCAACTGGTGATATGAGTGGTGTAATACAATTGTGGAAATTAAGCAACAAATCTTCTGTCTGGAATTATAATATGGGAGATGCTACTGTAAATATACTTTTACATTAATGTTTTTATGTAATAAGTTTATGTTAAAATATAAGGACTTGCATTATTTTTTTTATAGTGGATGAAATGGCACATGGCAGCTAATGTTTTAATCGCAGGGTCTGTAGATGGTGAAGTTTTTATGTGGAAAGTACCTGATGGGGATTGCAAAGTTTTACAAAGTTATGGATATAGAGCAGAAGCAGGAGTAATTTTACCTGATGGTAACAAATGTTTGAAATTTTGTATCTATATATATATACTTACATATATATGTATCAACAGGTAAACGGCTTGCAGTTGGATATGAAGATGGCACAATTCGTGTATTTGACTTAAAAACAAATACCATGTTATCAAGTATCCCTTCAAATATAGGTCATACTGCAACCATAACAGGACTTGACTGTTACTTAGATAATAATTTAATATTATCTGCAGCAGTAGATGGAAAAACTATTCTTAGTACATCACATACAGGAAAGGTAATTGAAAAAACCAATTACTTGGTATAATTATATTAAATAATTAAAAAATTTGCTGTTAATAAGATAAATGTCTTTATAATTTCTCTAGATAATATCCATATTACAAGATCTTAATAGTGAACAAGAAACTGACATGAAAGATTCTGATAGTAATTGGATAGAAACAGTAGCTTTTTGTAAAGATCCAGGATTTCAAGTAGCTGCAACAGGTAGTTTAAATGGAGAAATTTTTATTTGGGATATTTCAAAACAAGTAGGTTGTATATTTCATTTAAAAATAAATACTTTTTTGGTTTTATATGACATCTATATGTCTTTAAAAAATGTATAGATACTTCGACATAAAATAGAACAAGAAAGTGGTATAAGTAAAGTTCTGTGGAAAAGTACTACATCATTCCTTTTTTCTGGTGGACTTGATGGTATTCTCAGATGCTTTGATGCAAGAAGTGGACAATGTTTACGACTACTTACAGGACATTCTGAGGATATTCTTGACTTACAAATAGCAGAGTAAGTAATAATAATTAATAAAAAAATAAAACGATTTAACCTATACACATTTTCAGAGAAGGACAAATTGTACTAACGACATCAGATGATTCTACTGCAAGAATATTTAATATTGCAAATTTGTTTTAATGTAATCTGATATTTAGGTATTTAAAAAAATTTATTATGTTCATAAATATAAATATACATGTGTATACATATTAAGAAAATGGTCATATTTTTTATTCCCTTTTTAATAAAAAATATAACTTCTAGTAGCAATCTTTATATTTCATACTGTTTTTATACCACTCGTTATCAATTACATGTTTGTTATTTTTCCATTGAAAATGAGTTGGACCTTGTTCTTCACCATTTTCAAAACAGAAAAAAATACTCAGTTCAATAGCAATCTTAGATCTTACCAGACCAATCCCTCCTACTTTTTCAGGCGCAGGATGATATACTCTGCCTGAATTAGAGTCCATAAATAATTTTTTTGGTTCAAATGGTACCTATAAATATCAATCATATAACTGTTATGTTTAGATGTGAATGCACACATACCGAATTTGTATCATTTACCATCAAAAACTCTTCAGCATGCGAATAACCAAACCAATCCTCCATTTTGTCAATTTCTAGATTTTTTTTTTGAATAATTTTCGTGAACACTATAGGGAGATCATCGCATTTTACAAAATTCCTTTCCGAACCACAAAGAGAGATATATGGAAATTCTTGTGTATATCGTCTAGTGTTATTTATTTTGAGTCGTTTGAAGAAGAAAGCCAAAAACTTTTTGTCTGAAATAATATTTTTTGTTTGCCATCTGTAAATAGAAGTACATTTGACTCATCAAGCAAATTTTCAATTTTTTTTGCATAGTTGTAACATATGTACAAATATACCTTTAAAACAGGATGTAAAATTTTTTATACGAACATCATCCAAGAACAGCTATAAGTAATAAGCCAATTAGTCAATAATAATAAATTTGATAAAACTAGAAAAAGTAGTGCATCATACCATGCCTTGATGATCAATATAATAAAAGTATTCTCGTATACGAGGTTCTGGTGATTGACCTTGTACATAAGTTGTATAACTTCGTTCGTATATCTTATAAGAAGAAAATTTTCGTGCATTCATAACTATTTTATTAAAATGTATATTAGACAAAGTAAACATGTTCCTGATTATAATTATTTATTAAAACTTCGTCTTAATTATTAGTTCGTCTATAATCACGATATAATTATTTAAATTAATAACTTTTTATGATCATAACGTAGATGCTAATACACACCGCGAGCAATCCACGCAAAGTAGTTAGAATCTCATTGTTTATTCATTCTAATATTGTGGTGTAAGTGCGTTTTGCGCAATCTCTTGAGTGTCGCATGGTATACATACACATGCGCATTTCCATTTTTCATATATGTCTAATTATTATATATAGTGCAGTTGCTGTTGGTCCTTTCAACAATCGATATCGTATCTTGATATCGATTGCCACAAAACAAGTACAATTATATTATAATAACGGCAATTACATGTGATTTATCGTATTATTACGATTTCAAGATTTTCTATTTCATCATTTATAATTATTTTGTTTTCGAATGAAGAAACCGCGCTTGTCTAAGTTCTTAGAAGCAAAAGTGTCATTCGACGATATTTAGCATAATCGATTGCAGCATAAATTCGATTCTGAAGTAATTCGATATTTTTCAACGTCACTTCGCATCGCTACTCACGGACACAGTCAGAGATTCAAGAAATGAGATACAACGAATAAGTGAAACCAAGTTTCCAAAAAGAGTTAAAATTGATGGGAACAGTAATATTAGAGCCGGCCTAAAGTAGGAGATGTCATCAAGTTGACGAATGTTTTACTCGGAGACAAAGATATAACAAGTAAAAATGTTATATTTAAATTCGAGCAAAAAGATATCGTACTTCTACGATCTAAAATCTCAGACTGTTGTTCCTCCCAAATAAGTCGTGTACAACGCAATCTTGTTGGTCCCGGAATATGGCTTCGTCCACGAAGAGATCTTGGAAACTCCGTAAGTATTCTTTACAATGATTGTTTTTATTTGCGTCTCCTTTTTTTAAATAGAAATGATACAGAATGAGGGTCTTAGATACTCCAAATTGTTGATTAAATTTAAAGTAAATAATAAATGTTTATTAAAGGATAGTAAGTTTAAACCTACATATCTATATACAGTGTTCTCTAATTATAGTCATAGCCTTTGTGCTGTTCTATGAACATACCATACAATATTTTAAATTATCAATGTTCTTGTGTTCCTTTTAAAATAATAAATATCATTTTTTTTACAGAGGATTTTATTGCCCATTCGTCAAATGTCAATTGTTTGGCATTGGGACATAAATCTGGTCGTGTTTTGGTTACTGGTGGCGATGACAAAAAAGTCAATTTATGGGCAGTTGGAAAGCCAAATTGTATTATGGTATTTCAAAAAAATATTATTATTTATTTTTTATATATTTGTAATAGCCATTTTATTTATGTTTTATGTTATAAAATAATCATATTTTTCTTTTTTTTTTTTATAGAGCCTGAGTGGCCATACAACCTCAATAGAATGTGTAAAATTTGGCCAAACCGAAGATTTAGTATGTGCTGGTTCGCAGACAGGGGCATTAAAAATTTGGGACCTGGAACATGCTAAATTAGCTCGTACTTTAACAGGACATAAAGCAGGAATAAAATGTATGGACTTCCACCCTTATGGGGAACTATTGGCATCTGGAAGTTTGGATACAGCAATAAAATTATGGGATATAAGAAGAAAAGGTTGCATTTTTACTTACAAGGGACATAATCTGGCAGTGAATAGTTTAAAATTTAGTCCTGATGGACAATGGATTGCTAGTGCAGGAGAAGAAGGCATGGTGAAGGTGAATTTTAATGATCTTTCTTAATAAAAATATAATTTTATACACATTATATCACAAAATAATTTTTCTAGTAGTTATGGGATTTAAGAGCAGGAAGACAACTTAGAGAATTTTCAGAACATAGGGGGCCAGCAGTAACTGTAGAATTTCATCCACATGAATTTTTATTAGCCAGTGGAAGCGCAGACAGAACAGTTCACTTTTGGGATTTGGAATCATTTCAACTTGTATCTTCCACAGAGCAAAATCATTCTTCAGGAATAAGGTAAGTAAAATAAATTTTAATTGTAAGTAATTAATTCGAATTATGAATATATTTCATATATTTTGTATAAACGTTTTTTCTAGGTGCCTATACTTCAGTCAAGGAGGAGAATGTCTTTTTGCTGGTAGCCATGATGTTTTAAAGGTCTATGGTTGGGAGCCAGGTAGAACTTTAGATACAGTTCCAACTGGCTGGGGCAAAGTACAGGACATAGCTGTAGCTCAAAATCAATTGGTAACAAAACATTTATAAATTATATTATTCTTATAATGTGATAAATGTATAATAATAGAATAATTGCTTATTTTAGATTGGTGCAAGTTGCCATACTACAAATGTTATCCTTTATGTCTGTGATTTAAAAAAAATTGCACCATTAGGAGGAGTGTCATTGTCTCCGTTTAATCATGGAAATTCACTAAGGAAAAGTTTTTCTAGAGATCGGCCACCAGAATTAAAGAAACATACGTAATTATAATTTAATGGTGCCTGTATTATATATCACTTTAGAAAAAAGTTTGAATGTATCATAAACTTATAGGTTAGATGTACGAACTATAGAGGAGGCGGACAAGTCAGGCACAGATCCAGAAGATGAGGCGACATATGCAGATATACCTAATGTTTCTGAATATCGAGACATCTTTCAACCTAACAGAGCTCGTAAATGATTTTTTTTTACATATTTTGCTAGTCCATTATACGATTTTACCTAGTAGATTCTATCAGTTTATCTTTAATCACTTATCAACCTCATTTTTCATATATATAACTTAGACAATGTGGAATGTCGTTTGTGAATGGGCATGCTCTGCATGATATGTTTCAGTGTCTCGTACACCTCCACCAGAACCTGAGGCTTTCCAAGAGCCTCAAGATGTAGGTGAGTTTGTAAAAAACTTCCTACTTGTCTTTGTTATTTTAACTCACATTTGATTTACATTTTCCTAATTTTGTATTACAAGAACACATTTTCCTAATTTTGTATTACACAAATATTATAAAGAAAAATAATGCTACAAATGCTAAAAAATAATGTTATAATATTGATTGAAAACTTTCTATTTCAGATCCTTCGCAGCCACAGGTACTACAAAATCTATGTACGTCTATATCAAACATAAGTACAGTAGAATCAAGTGAAATGTCATCTATACCACCATCATTGTCTCCATCACCAACTGTTACAACATTATCACTGACAAAACCTGCGGCAGTTCGTGTTCAACCAATAAGATCATCACCACCAACACAAAGGAATGTAATTACTACAACGAGTCAAATTCGAGCAAATTTACAAGCAAATAATATGCTAAACAGATCTTCAAAAAATTTAGCTTCTATACCACCACTTAAACAAAACATTACTCCTTTTCCTGGAAAAAGAGCTGTGCAAACTAATGAAACAATACCATCACAGCCTTTGGGGCCACAAAGGTCAAATTCGACATTAACACCAAGAGTGGCACCAATGGCAGCTGTCATTCCTGTTATGGATGATGGAAAGTTAAAAAATAGAGTGCCCAGCCCAGATTCTCCTAAGCATTACTTAAAGCGCCAAAACAGTTGTAGAGAGAGTGAGCAAGGCTATGAAAGTGATTATCCTGTACAGTAAGTACACATCTTTATATATAAAACAAAGATGTGCAAAGTCTGCTAACGAAGGCAATTGACCCTTATTTCCACTCTTCTTTTTGTTTCTCCTTATGTTAGCAAATTCTTGCTTCTATATACCAACATTCTTCAATGTTTGTCATTGTGTTACATTATTATGCACAATATTATTTTTTCGTCTATAAATGAAGAGTTTGTATGTATATATTGCTCATCTGAATTATAACAGTTGAAAATGCTGAAGTAAGCATACTTGAGTGGAGATAATTGAATAACGATAGTGGGAGGGTCACCTTTTTCTCTGACATTTGCACGTCTTCGATGTAAAATGAAAAAAAAATCGTTTTAGTAATCGTAGCATGTATATTTATATTTTATATAATATTACATTTTGCAGAATTAATAATATAAGACATAGTC